GTATTTACTTTGTCGACATCTTTGGAATTTCAATTTACACTTTTGTTGTTGTTTCGCGCTGTCACTTTGTGCCGCTCTCTCACGCACACCAAGGCGGTGACAAGAGAGAGAAAGAGAGCGCAGTAGAGCGAGAGCAGCTCACACAGATACAAAGCGGTCACGTTCACAGATTCTTTTATCGCATGCGAGAGAGCCATTTGTAGTGAGAGAGACAGCGAGTGAGTGGGTTTTTATGCATTCTCTCATTGCACTTGCTTCGTAGTCGCCGTCAAGGTTGCCCTCTTTGCATTTGTTTTCTAATGTTCCACCTCTCTCTCTCTTTTGGATTTGTATCTCTATCTCTATGAATTTTTGCATCTGTATCTTTTTTTTTTGGCGTAGGTGCGGTTTTCATATTTTTACTCTCGTTTGCAACACGTGCATCGCCAATTTCATATTGCTGCAATGTGGCCAATAAGCCAAGAAAACCGATCTGAGGTCAAGGCTTCCGTTTCCGTTTCTAATTGGATTCCACTTGGGACTGCGGCAATCTATTAAGTGGTCGAGAGCATATTTATCTCAGATGTTTGTTCAATGTTTTGGATAAATTCTATGGATATTTGGTTACTAAGAGGGCTTGCAATCACACCTTTCTTAACTATTTGTAATAAACTTTTTAATTACACCATTATTATAGCTTTAATAAGGTCTTAATACTGGTAATAAATAATATTTTATGGTAATGTTAACAGCCAGTTATTGTTAAATGCTTAAATCATTTTGATGGGTATTCACATCAAGTATTGAAAGGAAAATCTTGAATACGAAAATAGCAAATAGACTTGTCTTTTATTCAGCACTCAAATCCCTCGATTAATACCAATCTAGACATCTGTATAAACGACATATAGACACTCCTCTTTTTGTCCCTCGCTTTCCCTCTCGCCTGGCATTCGGAATTATGCTGCAGTTGATTTCGCCATAAAATTAAATCCAATGCCAAGGTCAAATGGCACTCAGATGCTGCGACTCACCCCTGTTTCTATCACCTCCAACCCCTAATCCCCCCCCAGCCCAAGCCAACATCTCGCTGGTATTCCACTTAGAATGTCAAGCAACTCACGCGTTGCATTGTTTGAGATGCGAGATGGGGTTGGCTGTGGTGCGATCGAGATGGGGTTGCTGCCAGGGGATGTTCACTGTAGTAGTCCATACTGTAGTATGCTCTATATGGCGCTATGCACTTGAACAACTCAAATTGCCTTTTTCGCATTGCGCTGCATAAAACATGCAGCGTGCTACATAAATATTCCATGCATTAAAAGCAAACGCATTAAAAGTCACGAGCAAATCGGCTAACGAGCAGCGGAGATAACCTTTTTACAGATTTTTAAGTATACACAGTTGGGGTCAAGTGAATAGGGGTTTATCAAGTGTGAATTGTAACTCCTCATGAATATCAAGTACCATGTTCTGTGATCACTTCTTTGATGAATTCATAGGAAAATAAGTCGCAAAAATGAAATATTTGGGGAATATGTTGGAAAAATCTGTACAAAATTTATTTCTGCGAAATTTTCTCCAGCAAAATGTTTTTAGATAAAAAGAGCTTCATAAAGCTCCTTTATTTTTGACCATCACTGTATACAGCAGGCACACGTTTGAGTATATTCGTATTTTAGCGCTTTATAATCACGATCAGATATCCAACAGAAATTGCCAATTTAATGTGCGCATCAACTAAAAATAAATAAATATAAAATTGCCAATGCCTTTGCCGCCGCCGTCGATTTAGCTGCCATCACTTAGCCAGCAAATAAATAAAAAAATAAATAAATACAAAACACACAACAACAAGACAACAAACAATTAATTATTATTGTTCTTTCAGTTCCTCGACTTTGAATTCTCCTTATAATATAATTCACTCCTACGTTTTTTATGGCGAAACTTTTACGACATTTCGCATTGGCCCGTCCTCGCACTCTTTTTACTCTTTTCCTTTATTTGTTTTTATTATTATGGCTTTCGATTGTTCCAGGAAAAGTTTCAGGGGATTTTGTAAATTCGATTGCGTTGCCAAATGCACGTTCGAAAGATATATATATATAGTTTATATATAGTTTAGATAGATAACAGAGTGTGCACTTGCAATGGGCATTAGAGCACTTGTTACCCACAAACGACTTCTTTGACTGACTTTTAGTTGGCTTAACATTTCTGGGAAAATATAGGGTAAATAAAAGTTATATTGTTCAGGGTAAAACACAGCTTTACCTTGATTTTCTATGACAATTAATGATTTTATGGATTTAACTTAATAAGCCAGAATTAGAACATGATTTGATCTACTTAGTAACCAAGTTTAATTTGTGTTGACCAAATATTTGTGCTGACTTTTCTGTGAGTTCAAAAAACCTTAGATACGAAGTGTATTTATAGGATGAATTTGCAAAATCTAATCAGGTGTTTATCAAGACTATTGCCTTATCTAGATCTACACAGAGTTTGCTCTTTGTTCTTCCCAAGATTTGACTTTTCAATTAGGGGAAATCACCAGTTAAGAAACCCAGATCCCATACCTCTTAAAGACCGTTTAGCTTGTGCATTTTGACGCTACGCTAATGAAATTATCTCGTGACGTCAATGGCTAAGCTAAAACTTAACTTAAGCTAAGGCCGATAAAAAAAACAACTTTAAAGTAGAGAAGCCGGTTTTCGAGTTCGCTTCATTTGAGAGCCAAATTTGGTCACACGATTGCTTCGCGGAATGACGTCACGAGTGGAGAGCAAGAGAAAAGCGATCGCTTTTCATTTCCAATGTTAATTTCCCCATCTTCCCCTCTTACTCTCCCCGCAAGAGCATTATGTCATCAAGTCAATTAACTAGCTACGAAAAATATGGAAACGGCAAAGGAAAATGTCAAAAGTTGCGTGTTTTCGCACTGGCTTTCGATTTTCTTGGAAATCTAAATGGGGCGTCATGGGAGGCAAACTATGATTATATATATATATAGCTTATCAGGAGCGGTGTTTATGGGGAGGGGGTGAACCTGATTCGATGTAGATAGTGCCCTGATATGGCTTATCTTCTGCATATAGACACCGGGCAAATCAAGAGTCATGCTTTCATCTGAAATTGATAAAGCTAGTTCGCTAAAAATTATACACAAAAGCTGAGTGATTACTGTAATTATGACAAGTTTATAAATATATATAAATCAAGTTTAATATTACAAAATGATAATCCTGATATAATCCAGGATCCCCTTTATATACCTTCTTGACTCCGCTACAGCCCAAAGTGTGTTGCCTTGGGTTTGTTGAACTTCCAAAAGGAGATGGCTTAACCAGAAAGGTGAAGTGTGGGAGGAGGCACCACTACTTAGTGCTTAAAGTAGGACCTTCCCTCGATTGAGTTATACATCGACAATACGACTAATTCCGAAGGAAATGGCAAATGCCGGGAAATGCCGGCAAATGGGATTGGGAAACGGGCGTGGAATTGGCTTGGATTGCCCGGCGGAATTGGAGCACATCTGGAAGCGAGTGGAGTGTGGCTAAAAACGCACGCGGCAGTGAAAGATTTACAAGCCGTGTTCCCCAGGCTTGCCAAAATGCACTTTGTGACGCGTCATCCAGCATGGAATTCCAAGAAGAGGCGCAGCATCAGGCGCTGGCATTCCAGAGGTCAGGAGAAGGACCGAACCGATCGGTGGGGTGAGGGCAGGAACTGGAGGGACTCCACCATCAGCTCCGATTCGCCATGGCGTTGAAAAGTGCGAAAAAGGGGAAAAAGATAAAGCCAGAGGAAATTATCGGGAACTGACGCCCGACCAACAGCACACACAGCACTCCCCAGATTGTGTCAACTCCTTTGAAATGCAACTGAAATATTGGGGTATTCTCAGTTCTGAGGCATCTTGACAAATGCATCTGAGGAAAATCATTATGTTTTAACTTTCTACCTGTTTTTGGAAAGATATTGCTTGAAGTTACTTGGGATACTATGTATCTCTCTTTCGATACCCATCCTTAAGCTCAGATATCTTTAGATATTTTCTCTGTTTTAGTTACAATTTTACAAAATCAATTTACAGATCCAAATAAACCTTCCAGAAGATTCCATGGAAGAAAATAAACTCTTTTAATTTGAATAAAAAACATTTTTATAAACTTTTTTTTAATACAAATATTATTATTAGAATGTTTGGTATTAACAGCTAATATCTTAGTAAAAATATTTAATAAAACTTTCTGGGTAACTTCCCACTTTCTCAATAATATCCCTACCTTTTAAGGTATTCCTTGGTCGAGTCGCCTGCATCTTGTTTTTTTATCGAACCCCCTTTTGTTTGGGGGGGAATTTCGCAATGCTGCATTGGGATTTCCAACGCCACAGCCTGGCATCGCCTGATTTTGCCTGGCTTCCTCTCTCCTCTTGCTGAGTGCACTAATTTGCAGAGCTCTTTTTTAGCTCGATTGCCTTTCACTCAGCCAGCCACTCAAACGAGTGAGTCGAAGAAATGAGAGAGAGAGCCAGAGAGAGACAGATCGAAACGGGTTTGGTTGAGCTGAAATATTGGCAAGTGGGTGCCAAGTGGAGCCCCAAAGCCCTAGGCCGTGGCACGTCCCGTCCCTCCCACACCCACGTCCACCAAGTGGGCCAAAATGGAAAACAGAAAAAACAAAACGCACGAATTCTGGTTAAAACGGCGATGAGTCATCCCGGCGAGGTGATGTGAGTGTGTGTGGAATCGGTTGTAGCTACGGCCCATTCATAATCGCGTTTGCTGAATGAACGAACATCTATATAGGCACACACGAATCGGCGTCTTTATAAACAAAACTATATAGTACACCTGGGGTCGAGATAGTAGTGAAAATTTTACGGAAAGTCCCAATGATTGAATACTAATAGGTGTAGTAGTAAAGTTACCTTTAAGATAGTTCGTAATAATGGCAACACTGCGTATGAGTTATATATATCTAAGGAATTACCTAAGAAATCAAAAAAAAAAGTATATTTACGGTTTTTTATCACTGACTGCTGAAAGACATGGAATAATATTTGGCGTAGCCACCTACTTGGTGACAGGCTTCGTCAAGCACTTGGCACCTCGACGCTGGCCAGGATCAGGGTTATGTCATCGGGCTTCCCACCGCCAGAATAGCGGACATTGTGTTCCCTGGCCTTGAGGGCAAAAGGCGATAGGAAAGTGGCATTCAAGGAGAGCTCACGGGCCTTCTCCACCAGCTGATTGGCCCCTTGCAGGAGATCCTGTTCCCCACGCACTTTCAGGCCATTTAAGATCTTCAGTAACATGCTCTCGGGCATGTTGTCGAACAAGCCATCCGTGGCCAGGAGCACCAGGTCACCCGGAAGCAGAGAGTGCCGCGTTGACACTGCCATCTCCGGTTGGTCAGAGTAGAAGGAATCCCTCTGGTTCGCCGGAGGCACTGTCAGCTGATAGGGGGTGTTGAAGTCATGGGTTTGCTCTTGCGACCGGTGCAGCACCTGGCCGTTTCGCACCACCAAGAAGCCACTGTCTCCTAGATTCGCGGTATAAAGGGTGCAGTCCCTCCGATGCATTGTCACCAAGCAGGCCGTGCTACTGCCCACCACTGGATGCTCCCGGCGGGTCAACTCCTGGTAGCCGGCAATAAGCAAATCCCGAGGACTGCGTCCATCGAAGCCGGACTGTTGTGCTTTCCCGGAGCAACAGGACATCAGTTCCTTGGCAAAGCGGCCTGCATCCACGCCCATGTCCCGCCATCCGCCCACTCCATCTGCCACTCCCATTACCTCGGCCAAGGGCGTGGAGCTGACGAAATAGCTGTCCTCGCCAAACCGCTGACTGGCCCCCTCACCGGGAAAACGCGGCTTCTTGGACCTTCCTTGTACTACCGTTATGAGATAGGGATCCCGCGTGGACTTCGCAGGGAAGACAGACAGGTGCTTAAACTGCTGGTGCAGCGAGTGCCGAGCTAACTGCAGCGGAGTCCTTAGCTGGCGGACGAAGCGGTTCAGCAGGCGGGGCCAACTTTTCAACCGGGAACGCATCGTGGTCATCATCTTGCGGTTCTCTTCCTCTAAGCACTGGAATTTTAAAAAGTTTATCTTTGGGAAATTCCTGAATAAAGTTTGGTACTGTCAGTTTACTTATAAGAAATCTGTTTAAAGGGCCTCCTAAAATCAGTTTAGATTGGACTTTCTGGAAAGTACTTTATATACTTTATCATATAAATCAACTTTCTTTGTAATTGTAGTTATAAAAATCGTAATCATCATCGCAATTTGCGGACTACGGTCTCTGTTTACACCATAAACATTGGTTAATCGTAAGGCCAGATATAGAACCTGTTCATATATGGGCATGGAGTCGAGGTATTTGTCATAGGTAGATTTGATTTCTTTGTTCAATCTTATCTCGCTGGTGCCTACGACACTGTGGACTCAAAGGCCCCCATCATCACCGGAAGTTTTGATCAGGCTACGGAACTGCAAATGTTATCAGCCGTCGGTTTTCCATAGCGTTATCGGCGAAAAGGAAAACAATACGCAACGATAATTTTATTTTAAACCCACTGATGTAAACGGCTTTTAGATACGGGCCTTATCATTCCCATCGTATTCGGCAGAATCGCTCCTTATTCATTATTTGACTTGTTATTGGCCGTTGTGTCTGCCAAATTAATAGGAAATCTTAGCCCCACTTCCTGCGCAGGTCACTGGTGCCATAATTGCAGGGTCGCGGTACGTGATTTTGGATGTTATAAAAAGAATACTACGTATTCCGGCTTCCGAATGCCGCCGGACTATCTAAAGCTGGAAGTCGAGACGTCAGTCGCGACACTTTCTTATCACTGGGCTTGACTTTTAGTGACGTCAAGAGTGAGTTTTCAGTTTCCTGCAAAAGATACTGAGATCGGAATTAAAAATCCTCGCAACATCCGCATAAAAATCCCAAAAAAAGTAACTTTTAGATTGCTACTTCCGTCTTTTTCAAACTTTAAGTTTTACCATTTTATATTCCTTGGAATTTGTATAAGAAAAGTTACTTTTGATAATAGAAATCAAGAATTCGCAAAGGTCTGCAGGCAGAGTCATCAAAATCCTTGTTTTTTTTTGTTTAAATTTAATATCAAGATTTGCATTCTAAAACTTAGAAAAAACACGAACTAAAATGAATAATATGTTTTTCAAGATTCTGAATCATTAAGATTGGTTGGCCCTCTAATCAGCCCGGCCTAATCTTAGTATTTCCAAAACTGAGTTCCTTTGAAAACCCAGCCTCTGAATCATAGTGATAAGGTGCTATTATCAAGCCACGCGTAAGCCTTAGTATGTACTTTTAAATTCTGGGTCAGCCAGCATGCCTAGCTAGACTTTCCGATCCCGAATCCGAATCTGAATCCGAATCCTAATTGACTGTGAATTTTGTTCTCTCTCGTTGCAGGTAAGTAGAGCAGAGCCCCATGGAGCCGCAAATGTCCAGTGTCACATGACCCACTTTCGGCTGCACTTTCCGCAGACCCCTCTTCGCTTTTTTCCGTATGTACAAAGGGGTTTGTTTTGGGTTTGGGGTTGGGTTTGGGATTGGGTTTGGCGTTGGGTTGCTCATGTAAGTGGCGACACAAGGTCAACGTGGCCTTTTTTTACATGGCCAAAGCAGGGGCCCCATCAATATTTATTGAAAGCTGGCATATCAATAGATAAATGCCTAGAAACAACACCTGCAGGTGGAGAATGGAATGGAGAACGGAGCCACCTGAGCCGCAGCCGGCGACAACGACAACGACATCGACATCGGATGGCTGTTGGCCCCGGCTCCGACGACCCATTTCGAAAAGCTATTCCCGATAAGAGGTAAGCCACAAAGGCGCACCATTCATCGGATGGCGCTTTTGTGGGGCTGCAGTTCGGTGGGGTTTACCGGGGTCTTTAAATTTAGTTGCTTATGTCATAACTAAATTGTCTGGCCGGGGCGATAAGATAAACCTGGCAATCGGGCCAAGAATCGGGTAAACAAAAAGCGTAGTCAAAGAAAAACTGGGCACGTGAGACCCCCTAAAAAATTGAAATATCCAAAAAGCTATAGAGCAGCGGGTTTAACCCGAGATATATATGTATATATGTATGTTCGTATATCTGTTGTGAGCGGCATTTTATATAGAGTTTGCTCAGGAAATGCCAGAGCTGAAGAGCTTTCAACTCACTCACTCTCCCGCTCTCTGGCCCCCACTCTCTGAGTCTTTCGCTCAGTGAGTGCGATAAAAGAGCTCAACTGGCTCTGCTCGGGGTTTTGGTATAAAAAGCCAGCAGTCGACGATGACGCATTTAGTCTAAACAAGTCGACCGAGCCAAACGCTTCGGGAAAAGTGTGAAATTCGTTCGCCATAAATCAAAAGTCGCGCAATTTACGTGAAAAGCCAGCCAGAGTGTGTGCGAAAATTTGCGACTCTCTCTCAGCATGTGCGGTGCCTGAAAATTAAACAAAAATTCAACAAAAACAGAACGAGAATTCTGGGAAATATTGAAAACAGACAACACAAATAATTCGCACGATCGCGCGCCACTCGGAAACTACAGATACAGATACAGATACAGATACAGATACATTCGCCACACAGATAGAGATACATTTTGCCAGTGCTTCGGTGTGCGGAATACAAAGGCGAATTTCGCCAGAAATCGCTTGAGTCACTCGAGACTTGAAAAACATTTGAAATAACCTCCTGTTTTTCGAAACAAATTCAAAACGGAAGACCTACTGATCTACGACAAGATGACGCTGGACAATTACATGTTCAACGAAGAGTATCTCTTCAACATGCCGCTATCGCCGCTGCCAAAAGTGGTAAGCATTGTTTTAGCCCTATATCAAGTTAGCTTGGTCCGAATGAAGGCGGGTTGTTATCAGTGAAATTTCTAGAATTCCAATGTGATTAATATTTCTATTTAGTTGGGCTTACATTATGGGTACACTTGCACGAGGGCTTATCTTCTGGCCAATTGAGTTCTTGGAAACTGGAGATCCCCTTATTTTCCGATTGTTTTTCTAGTTCTGTAAATACATAATGCTGGTTAGCTCTGCGATAAGGGCTTCCAACCTATTTCTATTCATATTTCTATTCCCATTCCCAATCGCCCGATTTGCGTTCTCGATCATTACCCGAAATTGAATTGTTTTACTTTTTATTTGCGATAAGGGACTCATTGTTGGCTGTGGCAAGTGTTAGTTTTCGGGGCTTGTGTGTAGGCACATCCATCATTCGTTTCGTAATTAATGAAAATTATTGTATTGCGTATTTTTGTATTTGAATTTTTTGGGGGGGCGCTACGTGACTGATTATGGACTTCCATTTGATAAACTCCATCGTAAAATGATGTTGTTAAATGCTAAACTATAACATATTGCAAGATTATGATCATATTTCCCTCTTCTCTGCGATTCTGCCATTAACCAAGTCATTTTAGCGTGTACGATTTCATTAAATCAAGTGCACCCTGCCGCAACTTGAAAAGTTATTGCCAAAAATCACCCTCGACGTGGAATCACGTTGCGATTTCATGCCACCATTTACAGTTAACATTTTCCGGCTTAAAGTCGGTTTCTTGCCGTTTTTTTTCCGCTGGTTTTGTTTTATTTTTTTTTTTTTTTGGCCATTTTTAGCCATTGCATTTCACAGTCCAGTGATCCGGTCTGGGTTTTTGGACTGCGTCTGGGTCTGGGCATGGGTCTGGTAATGGTAATGTTGTTTCTGGGTCTGTTTCTCCATGGAAGCGGCGCCATTCGCTGATATCGCACACGTGCGATTTTCGTGACAATTTATCAAGTTTGCTGCATTGCGTTCTGGCTTTCCATATATGCACATTATTTTTCACTTTCCGAGCGACAAGGGGGATTAATTTTACCACTTTTTTAATGGTAGAAAGTGTAGGACGGCGGAGGGTCCGATTGTGTGACCCTTTGGCTTGTGAACCTCAAACACACTCGCGTGACACTTGATACTCGGCGGTATAAGACCCTCTATATACGATATATACACGTATGTAACTTGGCAATTGGGGCGGTTCAAAGTGACAGGCTGCAAGTCAAACACTTGCCCGAGCTCTCAAATGTTTCCATTAAATATAACATGTAACCAGCAGCGGCGGCGCCCCCGCATTATCCCAGAGCCAAAGTCCAACTTTCTTTTAATTAACTGAATAACTGAATATGGTATTGGTCTGCTCTTGAAGTAATGCTTTTGTCTGCCTTGGTTTTTGAGGGGGTTAATGTGGACTTTCGCAATGGTTTTTTCGGGTTTTCATGTGGGTGGCTTCGATTGGTTTGAGTTTGGGTTTGCGTTTAGGTTTGACATGAAAGAAATCACTTGAAAGCGTTTTATTTTTTGGCAGAATTCGAGGGCAGACAATAACTTTCCTTTGTCTACAGCAGCGCGCCTACACCCTCTAGAACTGGCCTAAAAACTATCCACTTTTTGGAGTTACTTTATATATTATATATGTAGAGGAACCGCCGATCCATGGCGCATGCGAACCAGACTGCATTCAATTAAGATCAAATTTAATATTAAATGTGTCTACCATTGCACTTAATTGCATTTCCAGTCAATTTAATTGAGTTTCCTCTTAATGAATCCCCTGCAACTTGCAACTTGGCACTGCTCTATCGTCTATCGTCTTCTCTCGGCTGCCAGAAAAGTTCGTTGCAGATAATTTGACAGGGAAAAGCGATTGGGAGTGCTGCCCTGTAATTGAAGTCTAAGGATGTCCAATTTTTTATTCCTATTCCTTGCTGCCATTGGTAATTTCGTGTTGGCAAATGTCCTGGCGTTTGATGGCTGCGGTCATGTCCTTCTAGGAATTGGCCAAAACAAGAATGAAGAACAAGAAGAACCAACAGCCAATACCCCTCGAATGGAAAGTGAAAACAACTTTTACTACTGTCTCCTACTACCGCCTGGCTCCCTTCCTTTGTGTCTAGGTTGCACTTCGTCCTGTTCGTCCTTTTTGCGCTTCTTGCTGGCCTGTCCTTGCTGGCGCCTGAAAGACGCGTCGTTTGTTTGCCATTTCCTCGAACTGCAAACTTTGCCATAAATTCGCCTCCCCCATTTCCAGTGTTTTCCCTTTTTTGTGTTCCTTTCCTTTTTTTTTTGGTTTTGGTTTGCAGTCGCGACAAAATGCATTTAAATAAATTATTCCCAGACCAGTGTCGCGTCATTTTATTAGCTGCACGTTTGCCTGCCTGTAATTACCACTTTAGTTGGCCAAATCAGCTTAATTAAGCCATCTTAATGTGCTATCGATTAAAGTGCCTGGCTACGCCCAGGCCAGGTAAATAAAATGTGCAAAAACCAAGGGTCAACGGCCTGCTTAACAGGCAGAACATAAATATTTTCACTCTTTTTTTCTGCTGATTATTTTTGTTTAATATCTCATGCAAATTTGTTTTTCCCCTTGTCCACGCCCTCGGAACAAAAGTCTGATTAATTTGACACTGAACTTAAAGCCCCGAAACGAGGGACTCGAATTCAGAATTGAGAATCCTGAAAGCTGCTGCAAATTTATTTGTTAAACTTTTTTTTTGCACTTTTTGGGCAAATTTTGAATTATGGCCGCTGCCAGGCAGCGAGAAATGTTAAACTTTAATTCAATTTCGGTTGTGTGGGCGTTCCGTAAATGGACAAACGTCAAGTGATTTTAATGACGGCGCTGCTTTCTGTATATATGTACAAATATACTTAGTACATATTTTGCATAAATGTTGGTTATATAAGGGGGGCCTCTCTGTTTTTGTTTTGCGTGCCTAAAAAAGGCCGGCAAGCCGCCGTGTGGATGCGACTTTTGTCGACTTTCTGCCGGCCGTTGACTCTGGGCCACTCCAAAAATTCTTTGGGCCAGCGGGTAAAGGCGGGGAAATTGGGCTTTATCAGCCGAGAACCGAGAACCGACAACCGACAAACGACAACCGCCAGCGGACAGCCGGCACTTAGCACAGTCAACACTACACGCCGATCGGCCATTCTGCTTGGGCATTGCGGTCACGTTCTCCTTATTCTCCAGCGAAAGAGCAGAGAAACAGCGTTAATAAAATAAAATAAAATGAAATGAAAAACAAAACAGCAATATGTATATGATTTCTGCCCCTCCTTTGCGTTAATTGTTTTATTCGCAGAATTTGCATTTATATGCAGTTCATACAACAGACTTGCGAAAATTCATATCTGGAATTATGCTCGTCGTCAAGGGAAGTCGCCGAGCCAACTGCAATTACAAAGTTGCGGGTGCACAGAAAGCTGAAGTCATTTAAAGACTGTCAAGGTTTAACCTGAATGGAATATGGTTATATATATATAGTATTTGTTTGATCGTTTATTGGGTAACTAACAATCTGAAAAGTTTACCAAAACATAAGTTAAGTGCTAGAAATCATCACCAAATCAACTTCCTTCTTCTTTATCTTAAATCTATCTTATTAAACCTGCTTTATATTTATTTAACTAAGAAAAGGCATAAGTTTCTCCCTCTGTATTTCCCATCACGCCGAAGACGCCGCTCTTGAACTTGTCAACTTTTCAATTCTCGCTTTATTTCGCCCGCTGTGACATTGCAGCAACTTTGAGGCACAAACAATGCTGGAGCTGCAGTTTGTCGAGTCTTGGCCAATTGAAAAATCAAAATTGTATTATTTTTTTCTGATAATTATGCGCATTTCTAACTAAACAAGCGTCGACCTTCAGCATGCAATTTTCGTATTTCGTATTTCGTATTATTTAGTATTTAACAAGCTTGCCAACTAATTTATGCCAACTGCCGCTGTTGTTGCTGCTGCTGCCGCTGCTGCCACAACAACGGCAACTAAAGCGTTTAAACAAAGGCGAAATTCGAGTTTGAATCGCTGACTTTTAAGTTAACTTTTGGTTAACATACGGCCGAGACGCAGGCCTATGTTAGCCGGGGCTGTTAGCCTTTGTTTTTCCCGCTCCTCACAATCATTAGCCACTTTTGATACAAACAATACAAATTGTCGCCGCCTGTTTTTTTCGGTTTGGTTTTGTTTTTGTTTTGTTTTTCTGCTGCCTTTGATGATGCCAAGTTTGTTTTTGTGCCATCATTACGTCATTGTCAGGCTGAAATTGGCTTAAAAATAGCCCAACGCGTCAGCTGAAGCAGAAGGCAAAGTCTCGGGCCCGAGCATTTCTTGAGCACTCAACTTGTTGCACCTTCTGAATTTTGATTTTGAACTAATTAGAGTCAAGGTCGCAGTTGATATGCAAATCGGGCATGAATGCGGGCATGGATTTAAAAGGAACTGATTAGAGGAGCCGTGGAAATGGTTTTCCAAGAAGTTCTTTATTAACGCAGGAAAACGCCTTGAGCTTGAATGTTTTTTTGATTTGGAAAGAAATTTAAGTTTTAATCTCTAGGTTTCATGGGAATTCCTTGGCGATATAAGTACTTGCTCTTCTAAAGAAATAAAGTTGTTTTATATCTAAAAAAAAAAAACAATCTAAAAAATGCAGAAAACCCATAGATTTGAATTCTGTTGGTTTTTTTTTAACCCCATGCTGCAGCCCAACAAATTAGTCAGCAATTTGGTTTTTTAGTTGACTACGTCAGTGTTTTTGTCACTGCTGGGTGTTCGATGCTCGCTGCTCGTTGCTGCTTCCATTTGGTTTATAATTGACCCCCAGATGTGAACTCGGCGACCACAGCTCTTCTCCACGTCCGATAACAGAGATCTCGGCCAGCGCCGACATTGCCACTGAGCCGAGGCATCAATTTAGACAATTCAATTCGCGGCTCTTGATTGCCAGTAGTTCGTATTGTCACTTTTATCATCATCGTGTTTTGCATACGAGTGTAGTATATGTCTTAAATTGAGTGATTCATCGGCTAAATGCGGTTCATGTGCCCAGGGAACAAGTTCAAACAGCAAATTGAAACTTAATTTGGCTGGCAAGGAAAGTGGGTTAAAACGAAAGTGCCCCGAAACAATATGGCAAAGGTGTTTAAACACCAGAAACTCAGGGCGGGCGACTTGAAAGTAAATTCCAAAAAATAAATATATAAAAAGAGCGCGTTCAAAGAATAAAATCGATTGTTTGTTGTCAATAAGGGAACGGCCTTTGGGATTGGGAAACGCGGCTGCTCGGCGATAAGATCGCCAAATAAATAAGCCCACAATCGCAATCAGCAACGCCCTGCAGAGAGAGAAATGTAATCGTGAAATGTCAACTAATTAATGTTTATTGATTAATATTTGTAAAGTTAATCTTAACTTAATGTAAAATCAAATTTCATTTTAAGTGCAAGACACATCCCTTAATTTTCTCTAAGTGCAATAATGTTTTTAGCCCACAACAAAGGCTAGCAATTAGCGTATTGGCCAACTTGCTGGCGACGGAAATAAACACTCTTGGCGAGACAGGGGGTCTGAAAAGTTAGTTAATGTGGATGTCCCACACGCACACACCTGTTCGGTGGACATCTGTCATCTGACGGGACTATGAATATATATTTATATATAGTCTATATTGAGTACCATAACTTTTGCCAAATGATTTCGGCGAAACATTGAGTTGTTGTGGCCTTTGATTTATGGGCGAATGAAAGGCTGTTCGATGGAGAGAAAGAGCTGCTGTAAAAACGGCAAATCGGAACTAACCCACACACAAATATATATATATATATATATATATACCATACTATACTATACTATAATATATACTTTTTTGCTATAAAAGAATGGCGAGCGTGGTCGTCGTGTGGGCAGCCGCTCAATTAAGAGCAGGCAGCGTTTAAAATTATTTGATTTTCCCAGCGGCTGTCTTCTAATTTGAGCAAACAGCTCGCGGCACACCAGGCACACACCCAGAAGACAGCTCTCCGGGTTCTCTAGATGGATGGTTATATATGTGCACATATCCCCAGCGATCTCTCGATCTCGATCGTTGCCAATTTCGCTCACCAGAGATACAGATTCACATTTCAGATTCAGAATCCAATTCAGTCGCAAACGAACAACGAACCATCGAAGTTTAGAAAATTTCTAACAATCAAAAGCGATCGCGCGCGCGCTTTTCTCGATTTCGAATCTCGAACAACGAAACGAAAATAAATTTGGAAAATTGCAATTGTCGGTTTGTTTTTAGCGCGCGTGCATTGCCAAAACGAATCAGAAACAGAAACAGAAACAAAAGCACAGAAACCGAAACACAAACGCAAACAACACGAATCGAGTTAGGAGAAATATATAGAAACGACGCACATTTCTCAGTTGCATGCCGCGTGGATCGAAACATATATGTATATATACGCCCATATATAATTATATATATATAGCTAAACTTAGAAATAAAAGCGAAAAAGGGAGGCATAACTTTGAGAGGCGTTGCCCGTGGCCAAGGATTTTTGAGAAATACGGATGGGAATTACGAACTAGCCCAAGGCTCAAGCCCGCGCCCTCTTACTCTTGCTCTAGCTCTAGATTTGCCTCAAATCTGCATAATTATTACATAACCCGAATCCGAATCCAAAGTGTGTGGTATTTATCGCGGCCCTCGCTGAGCAGTGACCTGATTTGAACTGGACACGTGTCATTAGATTTAAAGCCTCGCACACTTACGATATATTGCGTTGATTATGAGCGCTTTCGCCGACCGGAATATACATTTCAATCCTTTGCGAAATCAGCAAACGCTTATCGTCAAACGGCTGAGACCGCCGGAGAGCAAGAACTTCAAGAACTGAGCAACCGAACAACGAATATATACGAAATCCGCTCACAGCTAAGAAAAAACGAACCTTTTTTGTAGAGCCAACGCAGAAAAACAACGAAACTTATATATACAAGCTATAAAATAGAGCCAAAAACGAACGAATTTTCAAGCAACTATAGCAACACTGCGACAACATCAAGAACAACAACCAAGAAACCGGAAACATAAAGACAAGAAAGGATCATCACATTACAAAGGAGCTTTCGTCTCCTTTTTGTACATAAAAACATTTTTACGCTAGAATTTAGATTTGTTTTTGTTGATTTTGAATATATATATATATAACTCAAATATATATCATTGTTGTCCCACATTGTTGTGTTAGCTTAGCTAGGCTTAACCCCTAACGAATACTAGTCAGCCGCCCAACTGTGCGTATACGCAACGTGAATGCGTATACTTAATATTTAAGAATAGCCATATAGAGATAGATAGAGGCCAAAAACCAACGAACAAATGATGAAAAATCTCAACGGTAGGGCGCACAATGCGTGCTACCATCCCTATTACCACCAATCGCTGCACTTTGCACACCAGCAACCTCACCAGCCGCATCAGCAGCAGCAGCAACACTACCAGCTGCAACAGCAACATCAACAGCTGCAGCAGCAGCAGCAACAACAACATCAGCAGACCCAGCAGCAGTTGTTACGTCATCAGCAACGGCAACTGCCCACGCAGCCTGCCTACCAGCAACAGCAACAGCTACACCAACAACAGCAACATCAGGAGCAGCAGCAGCAGCAACAGCAACTGAGGCAATCGTTTGCCCACAATGGTTTTCCACTGCGCACAAGCAACAGCAACAGTTATGGCCATGTTGCTGGTAGCGCCTACGCCGGCAACAGCAACAATGCGGCTGCCATGGCCGCCGTGTGCCAAATGCAGAATTTTTTTAGTCAGCAGCAACCACAGGAGTACAACAATTGCTTGCCTATTAATTATTATCAACAACAACAGCAGCAGCAGCAACAACAGCAGCAGCAGCAACAACAGCAACAGCCACCGCAACAACAACATCCATTGACAGCCACGACGACAGCAGCAACATGCAATGCCACAGCAACAACGTCTGCAACAGCAACAACAAGCTCCACGAACAACGACAACAACAACAACAATAACAGTAGCAGCGATAATTTTGCAATGGACCCCAGTGAAATCGCCACTTTTCTCGCCAACGAGCTTTTCCTACAGCAGGTACAAATATCGCCGTGAAAATCGCTATCGAAATTCGGATAAATTTGGGCGCGAAACAATTGGCAAGCGGTGTGCGTACTTATTCATCGCCGAAAATAGAACAAATGCGGAACAACAAATTGTGGGGAGAGGGGTCAAGTATAAACAAAGTGATGGATTGGATTGGGTCCTCTCTCTGTTTTCTTTTAGTTTTTTTTGCGAAAAACACGTTCTTTAATTCCCAGAAATGTACGGATAAGCAATGGGGTCTTACGCTCTTAACAAGTGTGTTTGATCTTGAGTGAAATCTAGACTCTATGATTAATACCTTTCAGTGTGTTTCCAATGCAAGAATTTCGCAATTAATAATAGTCCTGAGTGATCTTTGGAAACCTTCAAAAAGACTTTTGGGTGTTCACACATTTTTAAAGGCCTTATGTTATCCTTATCGCAATATATTGATTAAAACCCTATGGATTACAATACTAATCATAACTTTTCATCCGTCTTACAGCTCGGCAACTTTGAGACCGTTCAGAGTGTCCTCACGCTGACGACACCCACGTTGACGCCGACCACCACGCGCAGCATCGAGGACTCCTTTTTCCAGATAATTTCGGATACGCAAAATGATCGTGGAGCTGGATGCGCAGGATTTGCAGTGCCAGTGGTGCTGCCGAATGCTGCGGGTGCCAATGAAGCCAACGGAAATAGAATTTTAACCGTTCCAAGTCAGCAGCCATACGATGTGAGCCTGGTGCCCGGAAGCGAGTCCGAGGATTCCAATGCTTCGTACAACGATACGCAGATGAATGAGGAGCAGGACACAACCGATACTTGTAAGTAGATCTCGTAAATATCCCTTTCTGAACCTTTACTAACCAAATCCTTTTCCCTCCTGCAGCAAGTGCCCATACGGACAGCACCTCGTACCAAAATGGCCAAATAATGGGTGGCAGTGTAAATGGCAGCGGTGCCAACAACTTCACCAATGTCCTGGCGGCCGTGACCACCACCCGTGGAGCATCTTCGGCTGGCAGCAGCAACGCGAATACCTCAAACACCCCGGCTCGTCGTGGAGGCGGCAGACGCCCCAACCGATCGGCCAACATGACTCCGGAGGAGGAGCAGAAGCGAGCGGTACGCCGTGAACGGAACAAGCAGGCGGCGGCCCGTTGTCGCAAGAGGCGCGTGGACCAGACCAACGAGCTTACCGAGGAGGTGGAGCAGCTGGAGAAGCGGGGCGACGGCATGCGCAAGGAGATCGAGTTCCTCACGAACAGCAAGAAGCAGCTGGAGAACCTACTGGCCGTCCATCGTTCCACCTGCAACAAGGTGCGTTCCGATTTGCTGAGCGTGGCTACCTACAATGGGCTGATTGCTCCTGCCGGACTCTTGAGTGCCGGGAGCAGTGGCAGCGGATCGAGCAGCCACCACAACCACAACAGCAATGACAGCAGCAATGGAACCATTACCGGAATGGATGCTACGCTGAACTCCACCGGAAGGAGCAACTCGCCCTTGGATCTCAAGCCGGCGTCGAACATCGATAGCCTGCTGATGCACATCAAGGATGAGCCCCTGGACGGTGGATTGGACTCTGGTTCGAGTCTGGACCAGGATGGTCCACCGCCCAATAAGCGCTTCGCCTTGCCGCCCATGTCCACCATGCCGCATGTTCACATGTCCACGCTGATGACGCCCACCGGTGCCTCTTCGGGATCTCTGCAGACACCCATCACGAGCACGGCTCCCGGAGGGTTTGGCAGCGCGTTTCCGGTGACCACCAACGGCAGCAGCAGCAGCTTGAACAGTCCCACGCTTAATGCGCTGAATAAGGTGCCCAAGGAGCGGCCCAATACGCTGGCCTTCCAGCGACCCTTGAGCCAGAACATGCACCTGACCCTGGCCAACAAGTCGGGCGGACCCACGCAGATTCAGGGTGTGCCCATCCAGACGCCGTCGACGGGCACCTTCAACTTTGACTCCCTAATGGACGGTGGCACTGGATTGACCCCGGTTTCCGGACCCCTTGTGCCGAACAGCTCCTCCACGAATAAACATCCCCTGGAGCTGCCCACGCCCACCGCCGAGCCATCCAAGCTGGTCAGCTTATAACCACAGGACAGGATTTGGGACAGGGCCGGAGGATAGGGGGTCCACCAGTTGGGGGGTCAAGTCAGGATTAAGTTAAGTTTTATATAATTGAAGCGTAGCGATTATATTTACACTTGCTAACAAAAAAAAAGAAACCAAGAAAACATTTTGCTAGTTTGTAGACGACGTTTTCATTTTTGTAATCGTAACGAATATTTTGTTTCGTTAACTGTAATGTTTTTGTATTATTATCTTTATTATGGTTAATTTATGATTTTTGCTATGTCCTTTACATACGCCGAGCTACATATGTTATGTACTTGTATTTTGTGCAATTTTCAAACCTTTTCATTGCGTGTTATATATTTTCAAAAAATATACAAATGCGAACGATCGACGATGCATGCAGTAATGCAGTAATGCCTGGAAAATGATAAGGATTTTAGGGAGTGTAGATTTGAAGGATGCGTTGTGATATTTATTATAAAACGAATACAAAAGATACCAGATAAAAGAAAGTAGAAAGCAAAACAGGAGCGTGTAATGAAAGGAACTAAGCCGGTTTTAAAATTGTACATTTAAACGAATCGCGTAAATATAGAAACAAAATATATATTCAGCATACAAACTAAATACAATGCCTTGAGAGAGAATTAAGAAATGCAAACACTTTATATATATATATTAATAAATATATATATATATATATGTTTATATTACGTTTAAACCTAAACAATAATCGCGTTAAAGCAAGTTTTATATTGAGCAAAAGCAAAAGCAAAAGCAAATGTGAAATGAGATAAATATACTTATTGTACTCTGTAAGCTGCAGTAGAAAACCCAAATATATTTTTACTAAACGCAACAAATGCGCTATTTTCAAATACCATTTATAAGAAATGACAAAAGCAAAGCAATTATTTAATATGTAATTATGTATTATGTATACCCAAATACGATCTAATGAAAGCTGATCAGGTAAAAACATACAAAAAAAAAAACAAACTCTCGCCTCAGTAAATTCTCTGTATTCAAAATTATCAATCTATCTTAAAACCAAACCGATCGATAGTAAATTAAATGCACTTATAAGGGCAGAAAAACACCAAAATTTACAGAAATTAAATAAAATAAAATAAAAACACCGAAAAACCTAAAAACAAATTGTCCAATTATTTGTACTATCATAAAGCAAAAGGAGCTGAGTCGCACATGACTTGTACATGGCCTGGCTTATCGTCAGGTAACACAAGCAGGTATATTAGGGTGGACCAATGGTATCTATCTCCACATATGCAAGTCGCACTCAAGGGAAACATTGTTTATGAAAGCTTTTCAGTACACTTTTTAATTATCTTTAAATGTAAAAAATTTGATATTTCTTCACAAAATAGATTAAAATTATCTTAAAACCACCTAGCAATGTTGAGGACCAGCCTAAGTAGCAGGTAAAAACACAGCAGTATTCTTCCATCCGTCCACAGATAATGGTTACATATTTATACAGAATGCATATATTCATTTTCGGGTTTGCCTTATTTTGCATTTTTTGGGATCTGTTATTTTCGGTGCAGTGAAAATCGGATCTTTGTTTTAGTTACTCGAGAACTGGCGATATGAGCGGTAGTCAATTTCTTCGCGCCCTGGGACGAACGCTGGGATTGGGTAGAAACCAGCTGAAGGTCGATAGCCGACATGTGGTGCTGATCACGGGATGCGATTCGGGACTGGGGTAAGGTAACTGAACCTGAAACAAGTTAAAGGTACTAACTGGATGGTTTTTTGCTTCTGGATAGCCACTCCATGGCCGTTTACTGCCATGAGTCCCTGCAGATGACCGTGGTTTCCTGCTGTCACAATGTTAAATCCGAAGGAGCAAAGCTGCTGCAGAGTTTAAATTCCTCTAAGGACGGGCTTACCAGGATGCACACCTTGGAACTTGATCTTCTAGAACCCGACTCCATTCGCCAGGTTCATCAGCAGCTTAGGGATATACTGGCCAAGGATCCCAGCTATCGGCTAACAGCACTTATCAATAACGCCGGAGTAATGTGCTTCGGGGAATTCGAGTGGCAGTTACCCGAGCAGATCGAAACGCAGATCAACTGCAACCTGCTGGGCACCATGAGGCTAACCCGTGAATTGCTTCCACTGCTCCGCCAGCAGCAGGGCAGGATTATCAACGTGACCAGTCACTGTGGACTGCAGGCTCTTCCTGCATTGGGTCCCTACGCCGCCTCCAAGGCCGCCCTTAGGTTTTGGACAGATGCCCTACGAGTTGAACTCCAGCAATACGGCATGGAGGTGGTTAATTTTATACCAGGATCCTTTGTCCTGGATAGCAACATTGCAGCGCGTCAGCAGCAGCATGCTCAGAAGATGCGGGAAGCCTTCAGCCAGGAGCAACATGCTCTTTACGACACCTACTTCGAAGCCTTCAATAGTTACCTGAAAATCTTAAGCGGCTTCAAGCCACCCAATAGGCTGAAGAACGAATCTTTGCTGGCGAAATTCAAAGATGCCTTGACCAGCTCCCAACCCTTAGCATTGTACATCGAGGAACCCCGCAGATATCGCCTCTATCGTTGGCTCTTTTCGCTTTGTCCCACTCCGCTGGTGGACTGGCTCACCGTGCGCTTCTGCGCCATGCCCACCTATGAGTCCACAAATAGGCAGAAGAAGATTTAGATTAATCCGTAGTCTATACATTTTAAATATACATTGTAGCACATTGGAATACTTGGCTAAGGGCTGTGGCAAATAAATCGAGCTGTATCCAGGGAATGGAAAACGACAAAGACGATCACAGAACGCAACTGGGTGGTAGTATTTAGTAGCCAGTGCTGCGGCACCGCTCGAATACCGCATCGTTGAGTAGCTGGAACCACTCGCTGGCATAGGTGGAGTCCTCCGCAGCCCGGAATAGCTGAAGCTTTTCCTGCGCTGGCAGGGAGGAGCAGAGATAGTAGCTGATGGCTGTCTCCGTCAGCTCAGCATGATAGTTCTTTAGCGCCCACTCCAGCAGGCGCAGGCAGTTGTGCGAGTCCAGGAACTGGATGAGTCGTTGCTGCAGGATATCCTCCATTTCGGGTATGATGTACACCCGAGACATCTCGAAGGCTTGCAGCAGGGCAGGGTAATCCAGCTCCGTTAAGTGCCGCTCATGGCACACGATTAAATGCAGAAAGTATCGCAATCCACTGGCCGTGTAATCATTCAGCTGAATCTCGCCATGCTGACCTTCTCGGAAATCACTGTTGAGCATCTTGTTGAACACCTCACTGGCCTCGCAGAGCAACTGCTTATTAAAGCCAATGGTTACGGAGGAACCGTCTTCTCCACTAACCAGGAATTTCATGTCGCAGTTGTCATGCAGGGTAGAGGATTCACTTAGTTTCTGGCTACAAATCTCTGATGTACTCTCCGCGGGCTCTGCTTCTGGTAAAACAATGCCGAGGGTATATCGGGCCATTGATGTCACCGCATCCACTGCCTCGTCAGCATAGTTATCCTCGGTCTTTTTGCGTAGCATCAGGTCAAAAAGCAGGTTCAGTGCATTTCCGTCGTACAGGAACTGATAGAGCAGACGATGGCTCTTGATAATGTAGGCTACCGATATGGCTGCTCTCTGTTGGGCTTTCACATCGTCGCAGCGCAGGAGTCGCACCAACTCCTCCTTGCCATAATTGGACTCTCCGACATTGGTAAGTGTCTCCAAGAACGCGAAGCCATCTTTGCGCATCTAAAAAGAGAAGTAATGTTTATTATTTAGAATATTTTGAGATCGAATTTAACTTACCTCCTCCACTTTGGTGAGTTGATACAACTGATGGACCACGCCATGTTTGATGATCTGGGCAAAGAACTGGCTCTCTCTAAAACGTTATACCTCTGGTTATTAGAATAAATAAAAATATTTAGTTTTACTTTAACTCACAGTAGAATATTCGTCAGGGCATTTGAGAAGTTGTTGTTGGCCCCGAATAAGTTGATTGCTCTTATCAGAGTATCTAGTGTCTCCGGCTTTCCGAGTTCCACTCTCTTGTTTACCATCAGCGTAATACGATAGATAAGATTCTCAATAATGTCGATGGTGTCGCCTGCTTGGTTTCGGAACTGGGCTAGTTTCGGTGGTACATCTGAGCTTAGTTCCTCGAGATCTTCTTTGTCGGAAAGCGGGTCATCTATGGGCTCGCTTCCCTCATCAATTAGTTTTAATATATCCAAAACATTGGAAGTCTGGGCACGATTAGCGGCTATGCGGCGATCCCTTGTATCCATATTACTATTACTTGTGCCGTCATCCTCATCTTCTTCGTCATCACTGCAGGCCGGTGAATAGTTGTCGTCGTCATCATTTGTCAGTAGATCTTTGCACACCGGAGACATGCTGCGCGAACTGCATGGACTGGTTGTTCGATAAGACCTTGGTGAGCTGCTCGGTGAGTCAAAGTCCGAGCCTAAGGCCTCATGGGTCTTTGAGAACTTTAATATTAAAAAATGTTAATTAGCAAGTGCTTCAACACTGTATTATATTATATACCTTGCTTAGCGTCTCTGGCGTTGTGGGATCCGTCAGTTTTCTTTTTTTGCCTCCTTGAAGTCTCTCCTCTCGACGACGTTTGTGATGCTCATCATCGCTGGTCAGGTAATCATTCAATTCCCTTACCAACATCGGAACAAGTCCTTCATAAAGCAAAAGTTCCATGCTTAAGTTGTCATATTGAAAGTTGTTGAGAATGTGGAAAAGCTATTGGATAAAAAACAGAATAATAACTATCTTATGTTTAGATTTGGATGACAATTTACTCACCGATGATCGCTCGCTCTGCGAGTTGGAGTCCCGAATCATGGCCACCAGCTTACGCAGAGCTCCACATCTTCGGATCTTCGAGCGACTGCAGGCATCCGTGGACAGGGTCAATATGATGTTAATGCAATGCCGGCTTTCACTCTCGTTAAGTGGTTTGGCCATATTAACTGCCATGAGCATCTCACAGGCAGCCACAATGGCATCCGCTGTACTCAGCATGTAAAAGGCGCAGGGATCCTTGCAGAAGTTTGAAAGGATTTTCAAAGCGGAAGCTCGCTGATCGCCGTCCTCCTTCACGAAGCAGACGATCGAAGCTAATGAGGTATTGCGGGAAATGGACTAATAAAGGAGAAATAATAAAGGAAATTTAAGCAAATTAATGATAAAGATGACTTACCTCCCAAGCTTTCATTCCAATCTGCTGAGCTGATATAAGAACTAGACACTTTAATATCTCAAGGGCCAACTCAACTGCTGCCTCATTCTCCTTGGGCAGTGCATAGTCACAGTTCCTTGTAGCGTTTTTGAGCATCTGATAGTCAAAGATATCACTACGTACTCCCTCCAAGTTCCTGGCCACCTCCTCAAAATATTTCTCGCGATGCTGATTCCTCTTCAGCCCTATCAGCGTAGACACCTCGATGTCCGGAACTGGCTCTTTGGGCGCCTCAGTATTCTTCATCACAGCCAGAAAAATCCGCATTAGCTGCAGGAAACCATTGGCCACGAGGAAGTGCTTTAGAAATTGGCTGCTGGTTAGGAGAAAACGGCAGACGCGGAAAGCCATGATGCGGGTCTGCACCGCGCTGGTGGACTCGATAATGTGGCAAATGGCTGGGGCAATGGCCGCATAGTGGACGTTAAGATACTGGGACGCCTTCTTGCTTTTGGCCAGGTTTCCAAGCATCCGGCATGCGCGGCATTGAATAACGGGATTGGGTATGGTCTTCAGAATGGTCACGAGCGGGGGAATCACCTTGCATTCAACTGCCTGATTAAATTTTTATTATTAAAAAGATATACGGAATTATTATATTTTACAATTAAACTAAGGTCAAATAACTTTTTTAGTTTTTTTAGTTTTTAAGAATTAGCTTGTCAGACTTTTTTTTAAATTTGAGATTCGATTTTATAAATGATAATATATAAAAATGTTTTGGCGATGTCCATATTAAGCTTAGAATAAAAAGCTATTTAAATTTTTTAGTTTTTCCGATTTGCTCACCTCAATGCAAGCCTGTTCATCCGTGCAGCAGTTTCCCAGTATACTCAGGACCACCTCCATTATCTTTTCATTCAGCTTCGTAATCAAGCGCACCTGGAAGACGTAATTAATTATCATTTAAAAATCGATTTGAATCACGATCCTATGATGTGCAGGGCAGTGGCTGTAAAACCCCAATGAGTGTTGTGACTCCCAAACCCACCATGATGTGAACGCCCCCAGCCGTACGAAATAAAACAATGCCATTTTTGTCCTTCACCAGATCGGTGCGCAGCTTCACTAGGCATTTGTAAATGACCGTTCGATCTGTGGAGGTCTTGAGCACATCCAGCATGCTCTCCACATGTTCTGGCGTCCAGAACATTGGCAATTTTCTTAATTTTTTAAACAAAATGGAACAATTCAACAATTTTAACAGTGCGTCTCAAACCTTTCTGACTGTGTGCCCATGCAGTGCACGGTATTTTTCAGTATTAAAACGGTATTTTGGCGTATTTTTTAAAAATCTACCCGCGGTCGCACAATAGTACAAACAAAGAACCAATAACAAAACATGATTTTCCTCAGATTAAGGGTGTTTTTACACTGAGCAAAATATTGGACCTGTTTTGGGATTATACTTTGATCGCTATTTTAGCCAAAATATAATAGACTATATTAATAGAATTATTGGCTTTTCCTTTTATTTGCGATCACAATTTTTAAATATATAGGTTCAGTTCAACAATATAAAATATTAATATTTTGAACCAATTTATATCGTGACACGACGTACACAGTTCTATCTCTAATTCAGGCGCTATATTGGATTTTTCAACTGCTTGCAGCGGTCATACTAATAATCAAGATAAAGCAAAGCCACTGTAATAGTTAGTTAATTACTGTTTGTCTTTGTTGCGCGGAAACACGTACTTTCCCCAGAACTAAAAAAGTTACCCAAAGTCGTGCATATTATTTTTTTCCGATTTTAAAAGAACCAGTTTCGAAGTGGTTGTGACTCATCAATTTTCGCAGGCTCAAGGAGAGAATTTCACCATGGACGCCATCAGCAACGGAGAATCTGGTGATCAAGTTGGAATAAGGGTGGGAAATCCTGAGACTCTTTACGATCACACGGATGCTCTGGGTTCTGTTGGAGCAGGAGGTTCGGGAAGCAGCGGACTGGTCACAGGAGCCTCGCATCCTTATGGTACAGGAGCCATTGGGCAGCTTGCCAACTCGTACACCTCACCCTCGTCGAGCTACCGTAAAAATGTGGCCAAAATGGTCACCGATCGTCACGCCGCCGAGTACAATATGCGTCATAAGAACCGTGGAATGGCCCTGATCTTTAATCACGAACACTTCGAGGTGCCCACTTTGAAGTCCCGAGCAGGAACCAATGTCGATTGTGAGAACTTTACGCGGGTGCTGAAGCAGCTAGATTTTGAGGTGACTGTTTACAAGGACAGCCGATACAAGGACATATTAAGGACGGTTGAGTATGCAGCCTCACAGAATCATAGCGACAGCGATTGCATTCTAGTGGCCATCCTGTCGCACGGCGAGATGGGCTACATCTACGCCAAGGACACTCAGTACAAGCTGGAAAATATATGGAGCTTTTTCACGGCCAATCACTGCCCCTCATTGGCGGGCAAGCCCAAGTTGTTCTTTATACAAGCGTGTCAGGGAGATAGATTGGATGGCGGAGTGACCATGCAACGCTCACAGACCGAAACCGATGGCGACTCTTCGATGAGCTACAAGATACCCGTGCATGCTGATTTCCTGATCGCCTACTCCACTGTTCCGGGATTCTATTCGTGGCGAAACACCACCCGCGGCAGCTGGTTTATGCAGAGCCTGTGCGCCGAGTTTGCTGCTAATGGAAAACGTCTCGACATCCTTACCTTGCTCACTTTTGTTTGCCAACGGGTGGCCGTAGACTTTGAATCCTGCACTCCGGACACGCCGGAGATGCACCAGCAGAAGCAGATTCCCTGCATCACCACCATGCTGACGCGCATTCTGCGCTTTAATGATAAGCAGCTGGCTCCAGCTGGACGGGTTTGATCGATACTGGTATGGATAGGGCACTGGCTACGGCGAGGTGTGTGATAAACCAAGACGCAATTAAGATAAAACAAAAATTCTAAGGCCGATTTGCAGCATATTTGTATGAAACACTTTTTACCCTGATCAAATTCTTGAGATTGGTTTCACTGCCTATTTTTTTTATTTAAGCGCAAAGTATCTATCAATTGGCATTTATTACTGTCGCATTTTTGCCATCTGTATTTATATAAGGGTGTTAAGTTCAAGATGGCTAGGAAATGTAAAAGGATTAAATTGCATTTTTTGTTGGTCCCACTTTTTTCGTGATAAATTTTACTTTCCTGCTCATAAAAACGATCTCAAAATTCAACATTGCCTTTGAAATCTCATAAGGATTTCCCCTTTTCTCTTCTCGGTCAGGAACATTGAACTACCCTTATCTTTTTACAGACCATTAACTCTTATTTTGAATATTTTTATACATCAATATCTTTATATTGTAAGCATGTGTGTCATGATCGTCCAAAACAAAAACCAACGACTTTAGCCTGTAGTTGAGAAGTTTTTGAACAACATATACTATCTATAGAATTTGTACTCTTATATAAAACACTTTAGCAAATGTTTTCCTTTCAAGTTTACCGCTAATAAATACGATTGAAAACAATGAAAATGAATCAATGACCATTGGGTGTTGACCTCGCCGCCTGTTTTTGGGCGTCAAGTTGAGTGGGATTTCCTGAAAAGGCATCATCGGGAGAGAGCAAAATAGACAAGACGAGTCATTGGATGACCCTGTTATACGATTTTAGAGCTTACAATCACTTTATTCTTAGAGCTGGACACAACGAAAATAATTTCCAATTTAGATTTCACTTAAAGCACACCGGGGATGGGCAGAATTTTAAAGCCTGTCAGCAGATCCGACTTTGAGGCTGGATAAATGCACGTTTCTGATAACTTCAACTAATTAAAAACGTAGAATTTGCGCTCACAATTTGCTAGTTGAGGAAGATCTAGATGTGACCGCCCTCCTTCAGCTTGGCAACCAGGGCATCTACATCGGCAACGGTGGCTCCGGCCTGGCGAACTGGGGGATCCTCCACGGAGACGACCTCAATGCGGGGTGAGGTATCGACGCCGAGATCTTTAGCAGTGACCTTCTTGAGGGGCTTCTTCTTGGCCTTCATGATATTTGGCAACGTGGCGTAGCGAGGAGTGTTCAGCCGGAGATCGGCACTCAGCACAGCTGGTGTCTTGGTCTTGATCGTCTCCAGACCCCCATCAATCTCACGGGTGATGGTCAGACCGGCGTCGGTCTTCTCGATCTTGTTGCAGAAGGTACCCTGGGGCCAGTCCAGAACGGCGGCTGTCATCTGGGCCGTCTGGTTGGCATCGTCGTCGATGGCTTGTTTGCCCAGAATGACCAGATCAGCCTTCTCGTCCAGCGCCAGTTTGGCTAAGATCTTTGACACGTGGATGGGCTGCAGGAGCTCATACTCAGCGGCAGGGATCTCCACGTGAACTCCACGATCGGCGCCCATTGCCAAGGCGGTGCGGATTACCTCCTGAGACTGGGCAGGACCCACAGATACAGCGATTACCTCCTCAGCCAGCTTCTTCTCCTTCAGCTTGACCGCCTCCTCCACGGCGATCTCATCAAAGGGATTCATGGAGTGCTTCACGCCCTGGGTAACCACACCAGTTTTGTCGGGCTTGACGCGGACCTGGACATTAGGGAGAAGGTAGAAAATACTTTAATTGCGCTTTAATTAAACCGATTACGCAAAACGCAACAAGTGATAAAAAATAGTGGAAGAAGATGCGCAACAAGCGATTTCTAGGCTCACCTTGACGGCATAGTCGATCACACGCTTTACTCCAACCAAAACACGCGCCATTTTCTGAAAATAATTTTTATTATTTAAGAAAGCTAAATTTTTTATTAATTTGAAGAACTTACCTCTTCAAGATGGAAACGAACTGATTTTTAGCGGCGGGGGAGCGGGTGGTCCAAAGGTCTTGTAGACGGACAGCGTTGCCACACTGCTTTGCTGATTACTTATAGCTTTTAAAAGCTAGACGCTTGAGCTAAATAATTTAAAAGGTTTCGAGTTTTGAAGAATTTAAACTATTTCCGCATTTTTCTTTAAATTTGTATAATTAAAAGACATTTAATGAACTTTCCAAAATTCCAAGTTAATACCCATTTCTTATCAGTATTAATCGGCCCACTCCCACACTAAACAAACTGCGGATGTTGCTCCTCTCTAGCTCCAATCAGCTGTTGTACTTTCACCGCAAACATTTCTCCGCAGCGGCGACAACATCCCATTCCATTCTTATAGAAAATCTGCTGTAAATTTATCTTAAAACAAATAAGATAACGATGGCTGCAACAGCTCCTGTGATCATGCGTGTCATGGCGTCATCCATAAGCACGGCAAAGCGAGCTGGAGGAATCATTCGAGATATTCTCAAGAAAGGCGATCTAGGAATCGTGGACAAAGGAAAGAACGATGACTATGATCCCCAGACAGAGGCGGATCGGCTTGCACAGCGCAGCATCATCGCTTCGTTAACTAAAAAGTTTCCCAGTGTGAAGATCATTGGAGAGGAGGGTGGCTCCGACCTGAATGTGTCGGACGATTATCTCGTGACCGAGCTGGACGAAGGATTTCTGCAACAAAGCTGTCCAGCGGAGTGGAAAGATGCCAAGCCGGAAGACTTTGTAATATGGGTTGACCCGTTAGACGGAACATCAGAGTACACACAGGGTAGGCTTAAAAAACCTCCACAGTCCCAAATTTGACAGAAAATCTTTCTTATTCCGCACAGGATACGTAGAACATGTAACTGTATTGATCGGCATAGCTGTCAAAGATTCTGCAGTGGGCGGCATCATCCATCAGCCCTTCTACCAGCAACCCGATGGTGAACTGGGTCGCACCATTTGGGGCCTAAAGGGCTTGGGTACGGGAGGATTCACAGCAAGCCCTGCTCCACCAGGCCAGTTTATCATAACCACCACTCGTTCGCATTCCAATGCACTGCACCAGAAGGCTCTAAATGCATTTGCTTCCACTGAAGTTCTAAAAGTCGGAGGTGCAGGATTTAAAGTGCTCCAACTTTTAGAGGGAAAGGCTCACGCTTATGTCTTTGCCACGCCAGGGTGCAAGAAGTGGGACACCTGCGCTCCCGAGGCCGTGCTGGAAGCACAGGGCGGATGCCTTACCAACATAAACGGCGAGCACTATGTTTACAATGCCGATGTTGAGCACGCAAACCGCCAAGGAGTGCTGGCCAGTCTGGGACAGAACCATTATGAACTGGTCGCAAAGATTCCCGCCGAGGTGAGAGCGGCTGTAGGAGCTAAACTTTGAATTCCAGCACTTTATTAGTTTATTTGCACTAAAAGTAAACACATAAATTAAGGAATAACAGGTTAGAAATTTTTAAAATTGTTACAACTGAGAACAAGACTATCTTTATTTATCGAAACTGTTGCTGTTGTTGCTTTGTGTGCTGCTATTGGCCACCGAGTTGTTTATATAGCGATTCCTCTTAGCCTTTGTCATTTTACAAGAGTTCACTGAGGCAGCGAACCGGAGAGACTTTACGGACTCTTGGAAACAGTCTTGGAACGGCGAAACATTGATGAACATAAGGGTCTTTGAGTTGCCACCCAGCGAAGGCATCAAGAGATGTGTAAGCTTCGAATTTCGGTACGGAATATGATCTTGCTTTTGCAGTAGCGCTAAGATAACGTTTGTGAGCTCCGAAAGCGAGCGGTTGATGTTTTTCGTCTCAGTCATACGGGTACTTGTCTTCGGGGATTCCGAGCCGGCCAAATCAACAAGGTTTATCGAACCCACCGAAATTTCTTGCTTCTCAGAATGGCGACCGATGAGCTCCAGTTTGGTAACAGCATGAGAACGGGAGGAGCGCTCGTTGCCAGCCGTTGAGGCAGTGGCCCTGTTCATCTTAGCCGTATGCATCAGATGGCGCAGATGATTAGGATCGAGGACAGTCTCCTCCGTTATGTTGGACACGTAAATATCGTTCTTGTTGTTCTTGGCCATACGAATCTCCATATCCTTCTGCTCGTTGCTCAACAAATCGTACAGCACTTCGTTGTAGATCTCTAGAAAGGTAGCCTTGATCTCGTACTCCCAACCTAAATTGCGATAGCCCCTAATAGAGTCAAAGAGTAGATCAACTGTGCGTGGAATGACTCCAACACTGTCCGCTACTCCGTCCATTGTGTATGTCTTGCCACTGCCAGTCTGTCCATAGGCAAAGATGCAAATATTGTAACCATCCAGAGCCGATTGAATAAGCGGTGAAACCATTTCGAAGATATCCGACTGGGAGGAAAGTGGATGGAAGACCTGGTCAAAGGAGAAGATCTGTTGCCCCATTTTGCTTTTGGCCTGCCCGTCTAGGCTTTGCAGCTCCACGGTCGCCTCGTCATGGTACGTCCAAGTGCAGCACATTCGGTTCTCCTCAGACTCAAGCGGCGGTCTTATTCGACAGAAGACCCGGATGTTGCCGCGCAGATCCATCACCGTATTGTGCAACTCCTTGCGCTCCATATTCGACTGGAAAAGTTGCTCTTTGCAAGTTTCCAATTCCGCGGCCTGTTGCTTATTGCTGCGCAGGAGTTCCTCGGTGCGCTTGCGCAAATGCACCACTTCTTTGCTTAGAGCGGCATGCTCGGTTTTAACTTTCTACAATTCTCAGTTATTACATTTGTTTAATGGTTAGATTAGTTTTGGTTCTCACCTCGTGTATTGCCTGCAACTCAGAGAGCTCTTCTTTAGTCTTGCCCAGCGTTGATGTGATTGTCTCTATATTCTTGGTATGTTGCTTAACTTGCCGCTGGAGACACTCGTTGTCAGTCTGCATACTCTTCAGAGAGGTTTCCGTCTCAAATAGTTTGCTCTGCGCTTCCTCTAGTTGCGTTGGCATGGACTCCAGCTCCCCCATGTCCTCTGTCTGCTTCTCGTATTTGGTTTTGAGAACTTTGTGTTTCTCCAAAAGGTCGTGGAAGCGGGCCTTGAAGTCATAAGGAGCGATACGTTTTGTCGGGGCAGCAGACGCGCTTGTTCCTGCGTTCGTTGCTCCTCCTACGGTTTTTTTGGTAGTGGCTGGCGCCGCAACACGAGGAGCAGGACGCGTAACTGGTGGTCTTTTAGCAGCTGTGGTTGTTGCTGATGAAGCGGTAGCACCAGGCCTCACCGGTTGGTGATTGGGAACAGTCAGCGTGCTGGCAAGGCGTGTCACTTTGCTGGGAATAGTAGGCAATGAAGGAACAACAGCAGTGCGTTTATTTCCGCGAAGTTCACAGGCGCTCCGACTGCGTCTTAGCTTGGCCCTATTAGTCATCTTCATGGGTTCCGGAGAGGCAGCACGCGCTGTCCGAATTGAACAACATTTTAGATCCAAATATTTTATTTAGGTTTCATTTACTCACCTCCGCCTCCTCTACGCTCAAGTACCTGGGGAAGATTATTAAGGTCCCTCGACAATGGAGGCAGTAAGTTGCCGCAGTACGTCTGGTTTGCATTGAAGGCACTGGCTCCACCAGCACCTCCTAGTCCCATTCCCAATCCTGCAGGACCCCCTGCGCGAATTCGATCTGTAGGCAGTATGGTTTTCACCGGCATCTGGGGACGTTTAATGCCCGAAGGTTTTGGTAATCGGGATTCCATAGCCAACTAATTATACTTAATGTTAGAGATACTATTCCGCTCGTCTAGCTCCTTGCAATTACGTTTACAAATTATTTGGCGTTGTTGATATTCGAGACAAGCGACGCCTTCAATTCCCGCCGTTATTTTCGATTGTAGGGATGCACTGGAAAAGTGTGACCGTTTAACTGGACTAGTCAGAGTTGTCAACTTCCTTCTAGTTTGCAAATCAGATGTTTTCAGTTTCAGTGCAGCATTAACCATCGGGCACAAGTTTTCGCCTTGACTCGCGTTTTTCGCGAGTGAAAATCACCTAAAAAGGTGTAGAAAATAGTGCCTGCTACTTACAGACCGTGCTTTGCGTGGAAAAGTCGGGCTAGATAATTTAACAGCCTGAAAAGTGAAGACTTGTGCGCAGCACGCGTGGCGTTGCCAGACAATTACAGCAATTTGCTGTGCTCTTTCTTGAGCAAATTTTAAACTTTTCGCTAGTATAGGCAGTGCGGAGGGAGGCCGCGCTTTTCCCTAAAATCGATTTCTTATTCTGAAAAATATCAGAAATCTGCATTCCAATTGGAAAATCTTTGCGTGACAAAGGCGTTGCCAGCCCGGGCGCAGGTCTCACGCACCCACCTCTAGTTTGTTTTCATTCGGAAATTGGAAAAAGTTCCTTGCACGGATTTTGTGAATTAAAATTGGCTTAGTCCGCTCCCACGACCGCGAATCCCCTCGAGATGTCGGGGCAGGCGGAGCTCAAGGAACTTGGCATGTTCGAGCTGCGCCCGCTGGTCACCAATATCAGCTGCAAGCTTTCCGCGGTGACTGCGGGTCTGGATGAAAAGTAATTGTTAATCTTGTTGCACTATTTGATTACTATTATGTACGATTGTTTCATTCTGTTCAGTTCCAGGCAGTTTCTATGCCTTGTCACCGAGGAAAATGAGATCCTGCTGCGGTACATCAGCGCCACCTCCGGCCAGGAGGTGGTTAAGATGATATCCTGGTTCCGAAACCGCGTTATCCACGACGTCTGTTTCGATCCGGCGGGCATTTGGCTGCTGGTGCTATGTGAGTATAAGTACCACCCACTTTCTGTTTGGGGGGTGATGGTGGTGTTGCTAAAATTACTTTGGCCCCATGTGTGCGTGTGTGGTTATTGATTTTTTGATGCGTTTGTTTGTTGCCTTTGTTTTGATTTAACGATCGAATATTACACTTCACTGACCACTGATCCATCAACAGGTTTTGACAATACGCTGCACATTGTGCCCGCCCTGGCGCTGGTGGATAAATTAAATGGATTGCCTGCCTGCTCGCTATACAGCACCACTCAGGTCACCTCCTACATCATACCCTTCGTGGGTCCCCACGAGTGCCCCAACTCCAAGAAATGCCCCAACCACTCTACGGTTCAAGACGAGCCATCGGTAGAGCAGCTGGCCGACAACCTGGAGCAGGCTAAACTGCAGGATGAGGAGGAGGAGCCACTTGGCCACGATCTGCCAGAGCATATGCTTGTTGGCAATAGCGGAACAGAGGAGTCAGCGCACCCACCGCCGCAGCAGCAGGCGATCGATGTTACTGGCAATAGCCAGGTGATGACCATCTCATTCATGGCGTCGAAGACCTGTCCGTATCCGCTGTCCGTTGTCTGGTGGAAGACAAACAGCGGCCAAAATAGGGCCATTATCGGCTACTCAGATGGCTCCATCTGCTTTGTAGGCCTGAGTCCCAACTGTCCCATGATCGCTAGCACTGCCATCGAAAACGGATCTGTGATGCGCCTGGTTATCTGCAAGGACAAGGCGTACGATGGCGTCATGCTGCTGGTAAGAATTTGATCAACATTTTAAAAAGAATACTATAATCACCTACATACCGCCTTTCAGATAACCTCTTCGCTGAAGCAGCAATACAAGCTCCTCCTAGAGCAAAAGGCAATAAAGTACGTTTATCCCGGCGACAGTTCCCCAACGACCCGAGAGGGTGCCTGGCAAATCGTGATGTCTGTGCAGGAGAAACAACATAGTGCGACGATCGGTGCTCGGCAAAGCAATAGCTCCGATCCGGCATCAGACAGCAGTCAGTTAGAAGAAGATGTCTTTGTACCGCAGACCAACGAGGACGCAGCATGTAGTAGTCAAGCAGCGACCGCCGCAGAGTCGTCCACCGTCCCGGCGTCTGCGGATACTACGAGTGCAGATGCGCCACCACCGCCGGCGCCACCTTCTTACAGCGAGGCAGTGGCCCGACAAAACAGCGAGCAAGGAGGCGTCCGTTTCCAGCAACAGCAACTGCCAGCGGGCAGCATGGATGGCATTCTGCCCGCCACAAGAGCCCGCCTCGCGTCGCTCAAGAGCCTTGGATCGAAGAAGCTGCATGCCATCAAGATGCGACTTTCCGATCAGCGTCAAAAGTTTGATGAATGTGCGTAAGCTGACAAAAAAAAATTGTTTTTTCCATTCCCCACTTTAACATATTTTCTTGCCTACATTGTGTTTATCTGTTAATTTTGAAATGCCGTTTAATTGTGTATTTTATATTTTTTTATTGGTGTGCAGTTTTGAGAGAACTGTTGCATCAATTGAAGCGTCGCCTGCGTGGTGAGTTTGAACAACTCTCACACTTGACAGACCAAGTAGAAACAGCTTAAGTATATTTTTAATAGGCTATACTCATCGTAATCCGTCTTTTTTGATTATAGTTATGCCGGACTCGACGATGGGCTCGTTTGCAATCATGGATTCGCCGTCGGTAACACCAGAGCCACTGGGAACCACCACCGGATCCTTCTACACCATCCAGAATCTGCGAAGTACCTTCCTGTTGAGTGCTCTGCATAGCAATAGCCACAGTTTAACCGTTCACAGCATCGATATCAGTTTAAAGCCGCTGTTCGTTTACAAGATCCCCAAGCACACCCAGGAAATACTCATAAGCTCCAACATACTCTACGGTATACACTACGTGGACCTGCATTGTCGGAGCGATTCAGCGATTTCCACAGCTGCATCCTCGCTTGAGGATCCCCTGGTCGCCAATACAGATAAGGAGAATCGGGACGCGGACATTGAAAAGCTGGAGCAGGCCGAGATTAGTGCCCAAAAGAGCGATACGACCAGTGCAACGACTACGGCTACATCGAGCCTCGATCAAAGCGATATGCCCAGTAATGCCATCAATGCCGTGAGTGTGATTAGCAGCGCAATGGCCTCTCTGCATACCTCCGACGAAGATGTGAGTTTCGGGCAATGTTAATGATTTTTATCCAGTTCCTAATATTGAATATGTTTATGCAGCGCTTTAACAGCATGGCTCAGTTAGGTCTCTTTCGTTTCGAGAATGAAACTGTGCTGCACTTATATCAAATGGCACAGTATCGCAGTCCCGCCGCCCAACCAGAGACGCTTACCAAAGAGGAAAAGGCCAAAGCGTTTGAGCTGAAGGATATTCATACGCCTATGGACTACATACAGTTTTATGAGACGGCCGATGTGAGCAGTGAGTTTTCCTTGCGGCAAATGGAGATAATGCAATCAGAGTTCCCGAAGATCAACTACGATCCTAGCTATGTGATCACCAATAAGAATGTGTATACCATACAGCTAAGGTGGGTTATAAATTCGGTATTTCCTACGATTTTTTTTATAAATGGCAAACACTACTTACAGAAAGGAGCCTTTTGAATTGTTTCTTGATGCCGCCCTGCAGAACGAGTTTAATCAGTGCCGTGACTTCTGCAATACTTTCGACCTTTCATTCGAACAGTGCATCGAGTTTGCCGGGGATTACCTGCTCAGGCGAAAGAAGATTACCCAGGCTCTGCTCACGTACAACAAGGCTCGAGTGAAACCGATACGCACAGCTCTAAAACTGGCAATGTATGGACATACATACGCCCTGATGCAGCTCAGTGCTATGGCCCTAAAGTCCACATATCTCCTAAGATCGCGGTACTTGGGTCACCCTCTGCTTAAGGGCATACTAGGTGACATTACTTATAGGCACTCGGAGGATGTCCGTATGATTTTGCCCGAGAAACACGAGGAAGAGGATGTAATCAGCGGCGCTGTCTGCAGCGATTATCATTATGGTGTGGACGAGTCAATTAGCGCCCTTCAAATGTCGCCTTCGTCGCAGTTTCATTTGGCCAACTTGCTGCTCATCACAATGGCCGAGAAGGCAGTAAACGACAAAAATTATATACCCCTGTGGTAAGTTGAAAAAAGTTACGCTTTTAACCTTGTATAATTTTTTAAAACGCTTTCCATATATATTTTAGGAACTTTTTGGTGACCAATAGCAAATATCACACCAACATGACGAGCATTGTTCTTTGCCAAAGTGGACTTTTCTCATCGGCAATTATCTTGGCGAAAATACGAGGTGTATGTTTGGATACTTTCAATGCTCTGATCAGTGTGGTTGCCCAAGAGTTTGGCTGGTACAATGAGCTCAACGTCTGCCTGTACAATCTGAGCGAGAACATATTCATGGAGACAATAACCTACTTGCCACATGTGTCCATGGATTACTTTGCCTTCATTCAGGAAAAGCTGGATCACATAAGACCATGTGTATTACAGGTAAAGAATACTATTTGTAATATCTTTAACTTACTTATTAAAATTTAAAATTTTTCAGCGTCTGTCCAAGCAATTGAATCCGTTTTCGCCTGCTTTAAGGCCCATTGTGTCCCACAACAGTGACTGCGCGATATCGAACGATAATAATCCCCAATTGTTTGAGTTTTGCAAAAGTCTAATTGAAACATATTTGGCAGTGCTCATACATATGGAATCCCAGCGAGTGAAGCATGATTCTATTGTAAATGCTTTATCGAATTTCCGTATCAACTATGAAGACAATCAGGCAAGTCTTATAGCTAGTTTCCTTTATTGTTATCGCTTTAATTAGATATTATTCTCTTAGTTTGCCATTGAATCATCACGCTTCAAACCGATCTCAGCTGGTTGTGCCTACTGCGCCTGTGTTGTGGATGGTGCCGCCTACTTTTGGGGCTCTAGTGGCATTCCCAGTTATTACAGTGCTCAAAAGTCAACAGGTTGATTTTATTGCCTTTTTATGATATATTTATCTAATATAAATAATATCTTTTAGAACCGCCTGAGCCAGCACATGCTGTAAAAAGTCTAGATCTCCTCTCCCAGCTCAATTTGCAGGTCCATGCTATCAAGTGTGGACGACAGCACACTCTTATTCTAACGAATAATGGCGTAGGTTCTCTAGCAAGGATTTGCATTGGGTATTATATTAATTGGCTGTGATATTTCTAGCTCTATTCTGTGGGAAATAACAATCTATGTCAACTGGGAATCGGTCGACATATGCAAATGGCTTTGCAACCGATGCTGGTGACGGCTTTGGATGGCATGAATATAACTATGCTCGAGGCGGGGCAATATCATAATGCGGCTGTCGCGGATGGCAAGCTCTATATGTGGGGGTAAGTTTGAAAGAACTTAGGTAGCTGATTAAGTGAGCTAAGTTATAAATAAACCCATTCCAGATGGGGCGTCTATGGCCAGTTGGGACAGGGAAGCTGCGAGAATATATCTACTCCACAACTAGTCAGTTTTTTCAAATATAAGGTGAGTTCATTGATTTACTGATGAATGAATAAACTAAATGGTTTATTATGGTTTAGAAAATTTTACAAATATCGCTGGGCCATGCGCACACTTTGGTGCTGTGTGGAGCACCCAACAACTACATGGAGGCTAACTACTGCGGCAACGAGCTTTACGTGTTCGGCTCAAATCACTTTGGCCAGCTGGGCACCGGTAACAGCGATCACGGAAGCGACACCAAGATGAACGTGCCAGTGCGTCTTGAAGTGGGCGGCTGCAGCCTAAGACTGATACACACCAAATTTTTTACCAATGTAAGTTAAGGGAATAGGAATGCAATCCAGACTACATTCCTTATCCTCTCACAGTTAGCTGTAGACGAACACGATCGTCTGTACACTTGGGGAAGCTCGCCGCAAGCTTTGCGTCTAGCCAATCAAATCAAGCGGCGCGCGAACGCCAAGCAAAAATTAGAGGAGAACCAGCAGCGAGAGCTGTTGAGCAAGCAACTGGAAGCCACTTTGCTGCCGGCACCCATCACGGGTACCAACACCTTGGTGGAGCCCACCACGTCCTATGCTGCGGTGGTGGCTGGTGCCACACCGAAGGCCACCAGTGACACCAAAGATTGCCAGGACAAGCAGGACGAGGCTGCGCCATCAGATGCTACCGAAATAATTGCCCCGGCGTGTACACGAGAGCCGGAAATATTTAAAGCGGGTTAAACCTCCAGCCACTGTGGTTTCTGTACCGGCTCCTGCCCCTGAACCGGACCCCACGGAGCACCTGACTCCTCATCTGGTGGATACCAGCGAGGTGGCAGGCCAAATCCTGCAGGTATGTAAAGTATCAAAAAATGTGTCAGAAAAATCTTTTTTATTATTTATTTCAAATTTCCAGATTTCTAGCGGCTTGTTCCACTTTTGCCTGATCTCGTCCAGCTGTACGCTATACACGTGGGGAAAGAACCTGGAACACCAACTAGGGACCGAAGACAAGGATCGGCGGGCGGTTCTCAAGCCCTCCCCTATTGACAGCATCGAGAGCCCAATGTACGTAGACTGCGGTGCAGACTTTACGCTGGTTATGACCACCGATCACATTGTGCGAGCCTTTGGAGGCAACTCGAACGGTCAATGTGGCCGAGATTTGGGACCCAGCGTAGAAAGGATGCGACAGAGAGTGGTGTGCCTACCGACGACTAAGCGATTGATGCGATTTGAAAGTCAGTGTGTGGAAGCGCCCGTGGAGATCAATTTGCCGAGGCCACGAATCCGACTAGATCAGGATCCGGTCAGATACCTGAAGGTCATGCCACCATATCAGCCGCACTTCCTGCAGCCGGCAAACATAAGTTTCGATCAGCACTACTCTGTGGGAACCCCGAACTATAAGAGCAGTACGGAGCACGCGGCCACTGGTCAGGACTCCGATGACATGCTTAGCAGTCTAGAGAATCTAAGTCAGAACGATGCAAGTTTCTCATACAATGCTCCAGTGTTGGGCGAGGCACACAGTTCACTAGATATGGACTACACTCCCGAGGAGCAGAGCTATGTTCCGTTACCGGATCAAGCCATGGGTTCTGGAGTTCCTGTGAACGCAGAGCAGTTGCTGGGCCGTGATGATGACGATGCCAGCACCTATACGCAGAGCACCGATGAACTCGGGGACTCTTCACTTCAACAGTTGCGCCACTACATCCACTACTGTTTGTACGCCTTTCATGGTCTGTATAATCCCGACAAGATTGGCGAGTGCGCCCGTCCAAATCGCAACGAGTACCGCATACGTATCTGCATGCTCAACTTTCGGTTCGTCGAAGCCTTTCGGCTGTGCCTGCAAAGCTGCGATTCCGCCCAGCGCACCCTCAAGTTGTTTGAGTATTTTAGCAAGGATACAGGCTATGTGCCGCTGAGGAGATCTGATCTGAAACACCTCATATACCACCTGTGTCTGCACTTCCTGGAGCGCAAATTCGACATGCTCGAGTGTGAGCGTTTTTTCATGGGCGACCTGGACTATTATCTGCTGGAACTGGCCTACGTCTTCTACTTCAACAACAATAACTCGACGCTGGAGCAGAATCTCAACCAGAAGTTCAAGCAGCTTATTGCAGCGGCGGACAGCAATCAGGCGGCAACGTCCGCAGGACAGGAGCACCAACAGCAGCAGCTGCAGGACACCGATGTAATATTCGATAGCTTTACGGTCAAGTTCAAGACGATCTTGTGCCAGCGCCTGCTCAGCTACTCGGACTGCGAAGCTTCCAATTAGCAGTGGCTGGGCCCTGGAGTCCCGTTTCCGGTTCAGATTCTGAGTCTTGGCAACTTTCGTTCGACACGCATCAGTTGAGGGACCGTCTTTGTCGTCCGTCTTGTTTAATATGTTTCGTTATAAATTCAGTCTACGAGCCGGGGACTGCCCTTAACACATATAAGCCCAACCCCCTTCTTCCCTTACATGTTTACGCGTAACTATATATATACCATAATTGTTGTTTGCGGTTATTTATACATCAAATGCTTTTTACAGCGCTGTTATTTAAAAGAAATGTTTAAGACAAACAATTTGTTTAAAGAATCCAATTTTTGTAACGCTTTGTTTGCCATTGGCTGCGCCAGCTTTTATTTGTTTTTTCAATCAACTTTATTAAAACCTAAAACCGAAAGAAAGTAATCCAAAACTGCTCATCGAACAGATCAAAAGGAGGCTGCAGGATATACACATAACATACAAATTTTTGTTTTTTATTCGATATTCAGCTTGTGATTTGCAATTATTTAATAAAATCAGAGTAGAATTAATATAATTATATACACATATATATGATTAACAATAAAATACGTTTATACAAATAAAAGAGAGACGATTCTACAGTTTGAGCTTGATGTTGTCCGTGGTCCATCGCTTACTCTGCAGGCTTTTTATGGCATTCTCGCAATAGAACTGCTCCTCGGATCGGTCGGGCAGGGTTTCCTTGAGTTGCTGCAATTCCTGTTGCTGCTTTAACCCGACCATTGCATCTATAACCGCCTTTATACACTTAACCCGCTGGGCTAGTGCTAGTTTCTCAACACTGTTGCCCATCTTGGAGAGAAATAACTGAAGAACGGTGGACGGAGCCTGCAGTTCGTAAAGTCGAAGAACGGCCAGAGTCAAATCGAAGCTAATGTGGAACTGCTTGGTTTTCAGTGGATGCCAACTGGGCACTCTCTCGAATATGCACTCCAGATCCGCATAAGCCTGGGCCTGAGCCCTTTCATTCAGGGCAGTCCATTCGTACTGGGCCGGGGATATTTGCTGATCGGTGGCAAATCGCTGTGGGGAAACGGGCTTCAGCATGTCTTGTTCCTTCCAATTGCTGTTGGCTTGGCAGCAGGCGTAGAGTATCTCAATGGGGGTCGGTTGATCAGGGAGAAATTTGCCTAGGGCATTTTCCTTCTCCATCAGCTGTTGCATCTTAAAAGCGGCATGAAACACCTGTTCGTAGAGCGGTATGATACCTACTCCCGCATTGGCATAGGCATCTACCAGAAGCTGGAGATGTTTTTCTTCGTGTTGGCACATCTCCAGCGGCCAGGGCCGCCTGAAACTGTTTTAAAGCCGCTTCCTGATGACGTCCAAATCGCTGCAGTAGCTCTATATGACTGGCCAGGTCGCCGCTTTCTTTTAGATAACTTAAGTACTGTTCCAATGTCTTGGGTCTTTCCCTTAGAATCCCATGGAATTGCACTGTATTAAGTGTTCTCTTGAGGAATAGTAATACAGTAATGACGGCATGACCACCACCCTGGGCCGTCAGGGTGTCCAGTAGCTGCTGTTTCTCTTGTAAAGATTTAAACATTTCCAAGGGCGCCGTCTTTCCCTGCAGCAACTTTTGGGCTGTGGCCTCCAGATTTGGACTATATAAAGTGCTCTGAAGTTGGCGACGAAGGAGCTTTAGCTCTTCCTCCGGAGAGACGCCCTTGGGCAGCACCCTGTCATCAAGAGCTTGCTCCTGGAGCACTAGTTTTAGGGCCTCCTCGCTTAGAATGGATTTAATCGAAAGGTTCAGGACAACACTGTTGTTGAAGCTGGCCTCCGAAATGGTGTCATCGGCGAGGATTCCATTACTAGCTAAATCCGGGGCGATGTCCACCTCGTCTTCATCGTCAAAGCTGAACGCCGCTCGGGAGGATCGGTTCCAATAGGTTTCACTGTCGAATTGTAGGTCCATAATGGATATGGTTTGTAGATAAGGAGCAACTGGCTCCGTTAGGAGAACTGGTTTAAAAAGCGCTGTACTGCTTCTGGGTTAGATGTGAGAATTCGTAACAGAATTTGGAATAAAAACGTATTAAACTTTAGATAATAACTTCTTTGTTTTTGTTTTGGCCAGTGTGGCCGCAGTTAAAACTAATAAATATTTACCACTACCAGCTTTCTGTTTTTATACATGGTCCCACTGTATTTGAAATATAAAAATGTTTAAAAATCTATTTTGAGATTTCATAACTTTACGTAAAGGTGTTCAACTTGATGTTTAATTACTTATGAATTTTAAAAACCAGAGGATGAATGTTTTGGTCACTCCACATTTAGTTATCATAAATCTAAGCTGAAAATTAAAATAAAACTATATATATATTATAAATCAATAAATTTAAAAAATAAATTTGAAGAACTCCTTTAAAAATTGCAACCAATAAGAACAAATTTACTTTCCTAAAAAACTGACCTAGTTGTATTAGTAATTATTTTCTCTTTTAAGTTTATAGATGCTACACATTTTTATGAACCATTAAGTTTTTATTAAGTTTTTAACGATAAAATCACCATAGCAATAATTAACTTTAAAGGTGAAAGTAAATTATTAACGTGTGCTGACCGTGGGATAGAGATAGCACACATGTTTCAACAAGAACAATCTCTCACTTTAGTTAGACAAAACCTTGTTTAACCAGGGGTACAGTGCATCGAGGCGTGAGTAGACTCCTGGCTTATCGGCCAAGGCACAGCCAACTCCCCAAGACACAATGCCGACCAGTTCTTCCCTCACTGACAAGGGTCCTCCGGAGTCCATTTGACAGGCATCTGTGCCGCCGCGAAGGTATCCCGCGCAGAGCATACGATCCGTTACTCCTTTTCCCAGCAGATTTCTGCAGACTGTTTGATTAACGATCGGTACTCGGGCATATCTCAAACTGTCTGATGCAGGACCATTCATGGACTTGAATCCCCAACCGGCAATGGTTGAATATGTGCCATCTGGTATTCTCTTGCGGTTCACAGGGATTGCTTTTACCTAAAGAAGAAAACCGGAATAATCTACCTATCCATCTAACCATCTAGAGTTTGTCACACCTTTCTGGATAATGTAAGGTTTTTGGCCAGCCGAATTATCCCAATATCGTAGTCCATGGTCTTGGCATTGAACTTCTCATGGGTTTCAAGATCAGCAACGGAGAACAGTTCTCCATCTTTGCGATATCGGGATGTACCACCAACCTTAACTTTCAGCAGTCGATGGGAAACTCCCGCGAGGCAGTGAGCAGCCGTTAAAATGGTGTGGTTATTTATTATAGAGCCACCACAATGGTGAATGCCATATAGCTGAATGGAAACGATATACGGAATGTTGGCAATATCAGCTGGAAATCCGCCAACTATGCGTGGATCTGGTCGGTTCTCTAGACACCGGCACAGAGAAACGTGAAAGAAAAGCAATATCAACAATAAGTTGTACATCATTTGCACTTAGCCGGAGAAAGAATCGTATTAAAGTTGGAATGTGCGGCTCTTAGAACAGACTTTAAGTACAGAAGAACGTTAAAAGTAATGAGAAAAAGCATTTCGAAAAGAGCCCATTATTTTGTAATTAGGAAGAAGTTTAGCTTATCTCATAACTGTCTTCTCAAGAAGATTTCAAGTTCGCCGGCACAATATAACTAAACGTTCGTGCTACAAGTTATTAAGAACTGGACTAATTGAAGTTCGTAATAGGTGGATCAAAAGGAAATAAAGATCGGTTTATTTATCTAATCAAGCCAGAAGTTTAATCTTCTCAAAATACATTCATATTTTAATGTATTCAATCCGTTTATAATAACATTCCTAAACTCTGTTATGATTCATTCAATAACCGGTAGAATAGGGCTTTCTTCGGTCTAGTTCTCCTTCATTTTGACACATTTGCGACGGCATCATCTGTATGGCATTAATGGCCAAATTTGGTATCCACTCATTTATTGTTTGCCCAATTTGTTATCAAAGCACGACCCGTTTCTTGAAGAACGGACTCGAAAACTGATTTGCATTGGCTTGACCCATAAATTTCGAAATCAAACACCGTTTGATGATGGGCTATACTATTCTAGTTTTACATATCCACTTTGAAAGCGCGCTGGCTATCTCAATCTGCGCCAGCGAATCCGACTCAGACCCGAATTGTCTTTGCCAATAAAGTGGGCTATTCGAGATCGGCAGATAGCATTGATCTCTGGCCGTAGGATGGGAGCTGAAAACTGAGTAAAAGTAAACATCAAAACCCGAAACCCACACAAAATGTTTCGGTAGATTTAATTTAAGCCGATTAGGCGTGTGCAGCTAAGAATGGGAGAAAATAGTCAACTAGCGATTTCACGTGGTGTACCTTATTAGTGAAAGTGAAAAATAATAAAAACGCAAGCGACAGTTATAAGCCAAAACCCATTATTACGCCCGGGTTTTACGAAGGTCCCAAGGCGTTAACAGGCCCATAAGAAAATGATTAGAGGAAAGCCAGTTCAATCTACAGGCTGGTAACAGACAAAGAGAGTCGGAAGAGCGAAAACAGGTGCACATTGTTCTCGATCGTTGACCGCAATTACTGGTTGCATCCCGAACACGTTTGAGTTCGGAGTGGAGAGATCTTGTACAGGTGATACTACCACTGTATTTGCCGTGCTAACAATTTCTTTTTGTTTGAGTTCTCTCTGGGCTCCAAGCATCATACACTTCCAACGCCATAGCCCCGAGACTTTCTTTTGTAAGAATTCCAAAGACGAACTGCGTCCCGCTCTCTTACAGGTTCACTTCTCGAAAGACAACAAACCAGCCAACCAGCCAGCCATCTAGCTAGCCAGTCTGCTCCTACAGAACTTCTTTATCTAATTTTTATAACAAGTCACTCGGCGGCATTGAAGACTTCAGTTCTGCGGCGACCATCGAATGGTCAAGTTCGGCGTTTCTTTGTCCTCTCAGTGCGAAGTGTTTTTGGGCTGCGAAAGTGTTTGGTTTTCAGTGTGACTAAGCTGAAACTCCGACTTCGGGATAGACTGTGAAAATAACTTGTTAATTAGGTAATTGTTTGGTCCGGAGTAATGTCCAAAAGATGACAGGGGGAACTACTTATTGTGTATTTAAGGAATATTACTTCACGGGCTTAGTTTTTTTTTTGGTCTGCCTCAGATCGAACCGCTACACAGAACATGCACTTCTTGCAGCCACTAAAGAATAACTAAGAAAATCTGAAAAAATGTTAACCGGTTTATTTAAACGGCAGTGATCAAGCTGACGGATGACTATGCCAGCATTGAAAAAACGGAGACAATCATTCTGAATAAGCGAACTGAAAGACCGAGACAGAGGCTGCTGGTGCAAAAACGCACGAAACTGTGTAAAATGCAGAATGCAAAAGGTCCAAGTCGCAGCTCCAGTCACAATTCCATATTGTGCTCCTCAAGACAACAGTCTGCAGCTTCCGTCAAAACATTAGCGAACATTAGGACGTCCGTTTTGGAATGGCTTGCAAACTGACGTGACTTCGAATGGTCTTCTTGGCCATAATGGAGAGCGAATATTTCATAAAATATGCAGGCCTAACAGGCAGGAACGTTGAATCCATGGGAACTTAAACGCTGGACATTAACACAGAAGTTCGTTAGTCCCGCGACTATCCCATAAATCCGTAATTGGCCATATTCAAAAATTTGGCGAAATGGAAAATTAATTTACCAGTGTGATATCTACCGTTAAATTTTGGCATCATTTTAGTCACTGAAGAAATGAAGTCATTAACACATTCAGAATGGTGAAAGTTTTTTTGGCGGTTCCTCTTGAAGATCGAATTTCTATTGACTCTAGGGCTGGCTGGTAGATCTTTTAATTACATCATGCATCTGGAAATAGGCTGAATGTGAATGGTATTGAAGTCGGTCAGAATAGGTGTAGCTTTTGGAAATAATAAAAAAAGAGCTATTAAGTCAAAGAAATGAAGTCCGTAAAATAAAAGAAAAAGTTCGAAAGTGCTAAACAGTTAACAAGTGCTGATTGGCCGAAAAACAGTGATCCCAAAAGATGTATTGTGATGTGTTTCTATGATTGATCGAACTGTTTTGTGCATATATTCAAGGCATTTTATTGTTTGAAACTGTTCCAGTTAATAAGTAACAATATAGAGAAGTATTATTACTTATAGTTTTCAAAGAATTTCTGCTATCTATTAGCCGTTGTACTCATTTAAAAACTAAATACAACAATTATATAGGTTTTAAAATATATTATAATGACTTTATAACTCCAAATTTTATTGATGCATTCTTATAGCATTCCACATATTAGACTGTTAACAAAATTATCTAGACACTATCATTACATATAATGTTTCATCGTGATCTAAGGATTACAGATGAAAGAGTATAAGATGTTGTTACGAAAACGTTTAGTGGAACCCGAAATTCTTGGCCCCCAGAAACGACCATCATTTAACAGTAATTTAGGCAATAAATGACTGTTCGCACTAATCGATTGTGATCAGCGACACAGTTAGGCGGTGCTATTTCCTTCGGGTGTCCATACCGGTTGGGTTTGGGTTCGACCTGATCGCTGCGGGCGCAGCAACCCATACATATGTCTATGCTCGGCAAAACAACTTTTTGACGATAATCATTGACCCAATTCTTCTGCCGCTTTCTACAAGATTTTTGTACAATAACATGGTCATGGACTCGTTATAATGCAGCTTCCTGAGTGGCCATTCTTAACATGGCATTGCCGTGCGATCGTGTGCAGCAGACCCCGACATTTTCATACGATTTCAAGCCAGAATCAAATGTGGAAAAGTCTTTCAAGCATTTTATTTCTAATTAAGTTACGGATCGTTTTGACCGGTGCAGGGTTTATGAATCAACCATATTAACGGTATTTATGTGTGTGTGTGTGTATACCAACTTATAATAGAAGAGTCCACAATGCCAGCAGATATGTTTTGGGTGGAACCGACCCGTCGCCACAGCGGATTAGAGTGTCTGGTGCGTCGGCAGTCATGCGTTTCCTATACTCGTAGATTCCGCCTATCCGTATCTATTACTCACAATTTTTCTGCACACATGGCTATTCATGAGAATTCATATAGGATAACTGTATGGCTATCTCAGGTCTATGGATATTTTGTGGATGTAATTTATTAATACAGTTATAATGTTAATAAGTCATGCTTGGAGGGGGCTGCTAACTAGATATTCGCCAATAGCAATTACTTCACTCCAAAAATCTAATGCACTCCCATCGTAATAATATTCTTTTCTATAATTGAATTGTTGTCCCGAATCAAGTATTTGTATTAATAATTTTCCAAATTGTGCATTCCCTTTGGGTTCCTTGGGCCGGGCCCTGGCAAAAGGCAAGCCGAGTTCTACATGGTACTTGGCGAAAAATTAGAGCTCATGACCCCTTGATAGTCTTTCCAGCGCAACCGTCAATCATAAGCGATGCCCATTAACTTGGCAGTTGCGCAAGAGTTTAACTCAGCGGACCAGAAAAATAAAATCCAAGCTAATGCGAATAGTGGTGAATAGTGCACGGGGTCATCGACGTGAGCTCAGTTTCCTCAACGGAGTTACTGGCCGTGATATTGTTTCTCCCGGTGGACTGGTACTGGCTTTGGGACGGGCTATGGGGCTGGCTCTGGGATTGGGACTGGGACTTGGACTGGGCCTTTATAATTCGCGTTACGCCTTATGGCAAACAAATTAATTTAAAAAGATTGAGACAGTACCTGCGTAGTCAATTTTGCCGCGCTTTATAAACAAAGGCTTGCGATATTCTTTACGATTACACGCTAATAAAAGTTAAGTTTCTCAGCCCCAAATTAGTTATGCAACCGGAAAAATTAAGTTTTTATTGAATAGTTATGATCTGATGGGGTTATCTAATGTTCCTAACTGTAAAAGCTTTTTTATAGCTTGGGAATATTTGAGCAGGAGCTTTAACTTAAATACTTACCCCTTTTCAGGCCCCAGTGATACTTTAAAGATGGCCAAGATAAACCTTTTGCGACACCTTATCCTGGCCCTGATGCTATACAGTGTGGCCACGGCCAAGGAACATCTGCGAATCCGGAGACAAGCTGCGGAATCGGTGACTGCAGCACTTCCAAATGCCAGTAAGGTTATTGCAGCCGAGGAGATTGAGGCCCAAACGGATATTCCCGTTCTGAAGGAAAAGCCAACCGAGATCAATAAGACTGAGAAGCCCATAGAAACCGTGGAGACCCGCAACTCAGCCTTCGATGTACCGGCCTCCGTCGACTCATCCAGCCCCCTGGGCTCCGAGGAAGATAGTATCTACTATGATAATGCCCCTATAGATTGCAATCCCGATCTTGTGGGCTTCGAAATTGTGACAGGGTAAGTAATGATAGCTTGCTATCGGGTAATTATCTAATAAGTCCTTCGTTAGATATGTGTTCTCGGCTCCCGAGAAGCTGATGGATTCACAGCCGGGCACTCTAATGCTCACTGATTGCCTA